GCAGGCCTGGTGCCAGTACGTTTTGTTTGTGGCTGTCCTGTCTAAGGTTTACCACCACTTTTCAGCACTGGTCTGGTAATGAGTTATGCAAATGGCTGTAAAGGGACACCAGTGAAGAGCCCAGAAGAGTCCAGGCAAAAACAGCACATTCCCATGGAGCCCTCATACCACACTGGGATCCACACCGCAAGCCTGAGAGGGCACTGCACACAAATATAATGAGTGAGGACTAGAGCTGTAACAATGTTGTGCCATGTAGTAGACCTGTCACCATAATAACTAAACTGACTTATCATTCAATATACAGTATGTTACATGGAACAATCATTTCTGAGAGTCAGTATTTATCGTGGTATTTTTTTCTTTGTACTTGTGAGGAACTTTTTTTTTTTTTTGTACTACGATAAAGATTTAACTTGTATGACTCATTCTAGATACAAAATAACTTCTAAAGTGTTTCATTCAGCTGTCTATTTATAGCAGTTTGTGTTTTTTAACCATATATTGTACTTCAAAATGTGGTATCATGACAGGTCTAACATGTAACCACAGTAAAAGATCATAAGCAGGAGTAGGACACTATTCAATCTGTTCCACTAATAGATAAAAATACTTTAAAATCAATAAAACACAGTATAATCTATGTACCTTCCATGACTGTATTGTATTTAATCATAATAATAGCTACAAGTAGAGCAGAGACACTGGTGCCCACTGTGAGGTCGGTTCAAATGATGATAGGCCTGTCACATTTGCACATTTTGAAGTAAGATAGATATACTGCTGAAGAAAATATAGACAATAAACCATAATTCTGAAACTAATTTACCACTGACACAATAACGTTAAAGCAAAATAATCCCCCCCAAAACCATATTCTAGATGTACAATATTGGAAAAAGAGTTAGTTTGTATCTATAATCAGACATAGAAGTTACTTGTTCGACCTTCAACTGCTCCAATTGTATCTTAATACAAAAAAAGAATAAAAAAATCCCCACTAGGACAAAGAAAACATACATGCGATATATATACTGCACCCCAAAAATATTGATCCAGCTTTGATTTATTGAACAATAAATCGATATAATAATCATCATCATAACAGGCCTAAAGTACATTCTGAAGAAGGAAATGCTCTGGTAATTTCAAATACAGTTACAGTTAAAGTACAGTGCATTGTAGCAAATTTGCTGTTTTTTTTTAGTTAAAGAAATTGACAGGCGTTCTTGATTGGGCCAAAATGAGTGTGAGAATCTGAAGGAACAGAAGGCCTTCTCATTAACTGAGCTAACGCACATTAGCACCTGCTAATGGTTTAGAGATAAGTCAAAGCTCTTTTACATGTGGGACAGCCAGGCACGCTTGTTCATTTATCTGTGTAAATATCATTAGACTCCAGCAGGGATTTTCATGTCATAAATCATACACACATCAGCTCCTGTTTTTTTTCTTCTCAGTCTATTCAATAACATGTGGGTTTGAATTCTGAAGTGTGGATTTGCCCCAAGAATGAAGTTACAGCTGAGTTGTATCTGTCTTTACCCCAGAAGAGATTATACTAATAAAACATGAAGTGTACACCGCAGAGTTTAACAGCTTTAACCAGCATTACTGTATCCTTTATGAGGAGAGCCTGCTATGTGATGTGCACATATGAAGAGCTTTATTAGCAGACGTGTCAGGTGTATGTAGCAGACAGTGTTAAGTGCTGTACTATTTAGATGTCACTGTATGACAGCCATGGCACCTGTTTGAGGATATTATCACTTCTTCTCACACATTTTGGAAAAGGGTCACTGTTTGAATGACAAATTGGTAGTATTCATTGTGCTTCCACTTAAATGCACAATTAAAGTAAATACTATTAATGAACACGTACTGTATCCAACAACTGCTGTATATTCAGCTGCAATAATTCTGCAATGTGCAGTAAAATCATATTTAAAAACTTGAAAGAAATAACTATTGCATATTCATAGTGATATTGTCTTGCATATACACAACTTAGCAACTCAGTGACTGTTGGAAGCAGCTCTCAGAGAAACGTGACAAACAGAGTGTAGATCTTTGATAACTCCACACCAACAGTAGTAGCGCCTAGTGCAGGCTTAATGCCAGTCCATGCGCAATCTTTATTTAACTGTACTTTAACATGAGAGCGTACTTCCAACCCCAAACTCAATGCAAAGCTGCAACCCCATTGGTCAGTATTTGAGTACCTCTGTGTCAGTGGATGACCTCCTTCTTCTCTTCACTGAGAATATTTTCCAAATCCGCCGCCACAGAAAAGTTGCTACTAAACATACGCTGCCCAATATCCAAACATCTTTATCCTTAAGGAAGGTCTCCATGATGGAAAACTTCCTGTGGTAGCGTGTAGTCCTCTGTAGATTTAGTTTAATCTTGGGACAGTCTTGGATGGTGTCAAAACACTTGTTGACATGAGCCTGGACAACGTGCCTCCAGCTGGCCTCCTGCTCAAAGCTCACTCAGCCCACTACAAACACTGAGCAAGTGCCCACCCACCATTCACTTTCCACCTGACTTCCTCCTGCCACTGGCCCTAGGACCTAAAAGGAGAGGACATGCTGTCTCTGAGACGAGAGAGGGACAGGTGGTGTAGAGTTCACACTGTGGGTGCTCTACGCAGAATCAGAGGCTTGCTGCCGGTGGCATGTCAGAGAGAGACCATGGTATCCTTTAACTTTGAGCACAGCACTTTGAGCATATACTCCTGACTATATCTGCACTGGCCCATACCTCAGACTGCACTGAGGGCAGTGGGGCTCTTAATGACAGGATTTCTCAGAGGCGCAGATGACCAAACAACCACCTGTCAAAGGAACTGCTAAAGAAGTAGCATTTATGTCTCCATTTTAAACAAAACTGCTGTTAGATTTTATTTAATTCTGTCATTATTTTAATTGTATTGTTTATTTATTTATTTGTTTGTTTTTTATGCATGCCCTTATTTTATCATAATATAATATATTTTTTTTACTATCAAGAGTCATTCAGATTGTTTTATTTTGCACTATATTGCTGAAGCAAATTCCTACTTTGTGAATTTTCTTCTCTGACAATCGCAAATAAATCTTTTTCAGATTTTGATCATAGTCATTACTACTTTTAAAAATCTTCACATGAGTATTATTTTTTATGTAGTGGTTGGGATCATGTTTAGCTGCAGGTCTGTGGGTTCTGACTGCTTTTAGACTGAGAGCAAGTGTGACAGACAGCTCTCTGTCTGGCCTGAGCAGGTAATACATCCTATAGAGGCATGTTTGTACTGTGTGTATTGCAGTCAGAGGATCAGATCCCTGTGGCCAGTTTAATCTGTTAGTCCACAGCATTACAACTATTTATGACAGTTGAGCTGTTACATGTTTTTACACCAAACACTTAAAATTATGCAATAAATCTATATATGTGTTATTATGTTGTAATAGTATTCTCACAAAACAAATGAATATGAATATTGTTTTATGAATATTATTTTAAGTCCTATTTTATTTAGGTAAGTATATGCATGTATCTGGTTTGTTGTGATCAACAATAAACAAGTTAAATGTTTCTGGATTCTTCCATTTCATATTTCAGAGTATTGTCATATAAAGATGTGTTGCTAACAAGCAGGAGCAGGTGGCGATTCAGGGGTCATAGAGGTTACTGAGCCGGACCCCAGTACCAAAACATATTCCCTAGTGGAATTTGAGGAGAACTGTTCTGAGGAGTAAAATCTGAATGGATATAAAAATATTATTATTATTATTTTTAATTGGGCTGCAGAGTTTTGTTTTTTTTTAATCAGAAATATTTCTGTTTGAGGTCCCTGTGTGTCTGTGTCTGTGTGTGTGTGTGTGTGCCAGGTGTCATTCTACCTAAAAAGCATGTTTAATAACTTGTGTTACAAACCCTGTAAAATGCTGACCTCTGGTGGAGTTTTTAGTTCACTGACCAGGCACCCACTGTTTGTTTCCTATGGGCAGATGAGAGATTAGTGTACAGCTCCCTCTAGTGATCATTTTGCAGCAAAATGGTCAGGCCTTAAAGAGTGTATGACAGATTTTTATGATTCTTTAATGTTGGCTTAATTTGGTGAGATAATAACTGTTGTAAATATAAATGATAGTATTACAACAATCAAAGTAGCAATTTGTGAACTTGAAAACTATGTTGAAAATTACAGGAAGTACAAAGTTCTAAAACATGACACCAAGCAAAGGAGAATTCTGTCAAAAAGTGTGGAACAACTTACACAAGAAACACTTTTTTTTATGTGGCCATACCCACTTGTAAAAGCCTGATCCCATCAGATCTCAGAAGCTAAGCAAGGTCCTGCCTGGATGGGAGACCACAAGGAAAATCAAGTGCCACAGGGAGGCGCCAGTCACAAAAACTGTCATGTTCTTAGGCAAGGCACTTCAAACACATTGCCTAGTATGAAAGTGGTGTCTGTGTGAGTGATGCTTGGTGGTCAGAGGGAACGATGGTGCCGATTGGCATGGCAGCCGAGCTTCTGTCAGTCTGCCCCAGGGCAGCTGTGGCTACAATAGTAACTTATCACCACCTGGTATGGAGTGACTGAATAATGCTCTGTAAAGAGTCTTTGTGACAAATGTCTGTGAAAAGCGCTATATAAATAAAATACTTACTTACTTTTTTCTGATACTTTAAACATGAGAAAAATAAAGGTGTTCTTATATTTGTATTTGCCAGATAATAATTTCTGTGTACATTAGAGGAATTTTGCTAGGTAAAATCCCTATTGTGATGTCATGATTTCCAGACAGGAAATAAAATTTTAAACTTGAAAAATGGTCCCATTGAAAAATCTTAACTACACTTAACTGTATTTTAGTAAAATAGATAGTCTAACCTGAGAAGTCTACAGACGGGAGGAGCCATAAAATGTGACAGGTGTTTCTTTAGGCACATTCTCACGATATCCTGTTTCACCTCAGCAGTTGTTAGTGTTGTGATTTCATGATGAATACCTGCTGGCTGCCGCCTTCCAGTTCCACGTGCTTCAGCTCCCAAAAGCATCGCATCGTCTCCACCTTCTCCAGATGTCGATAAAATGCCAGGCGACCCAGGCGGAGGCTGTTGCTACGATTACGGATGGCCTTCAGACCCTCCATCTTCTCTACAATGGGAGACATAGGAATAGGTGGTGGTACCGCTGAGGAGGATTTGCCATTCTTCTTCCTGTTGTCACTGCACAGAGTTTTATCCGACCTGGAAATAGAAAAACACACTTTTAACACAAACCGATCAACAATAATGCCTTGAAAATATGAACTACAAATTAATGTTACAAACACTTCTCTCATGAGTACACATGTTTATATGCAGTGTTCTACCATGGTAAAGGTTCCTAGTTGTCTGTATGGAGATATAATTTATTTCCCTGGAATGTTCCACAGTAAGAGATTAAGCTTATTAAGCAATTACATCAATTTAAAAAACTTCATTGGTGAAAAATACCTTGAATGCATTTTAACTGTGATGGGGTTCACCTCTCCACAAACCGGACCTGTTTGCCTGATGGCATCACCTGGGTGCCTCCAGGGAGATGCCAGATGGACGTTCCACCAATAAAGTTAAATAGCCCAACTTTAAAAAATATTAATTAAATACATAACAATGTCAGAAGTGTCATCTTTTTTTCATTCATTGATTGCACTCATTGCACGTTTTAGGTCCTATATTATACATTACACATGACTCCTGTGAGCTCTAAATCATGTTATAATGTTGTAACCTCCTCAAAAACATACCTGGAATTGTGTTTTGTTTCGTTCACATATTTAAGTAACACTTCATTATTAGTCTGTCTACGTCTCCAAAATCCAAATGAACAGCTACTTTTAACCTTTCGTTTAGTGCAAAAAATCAACCAAATGATTCTAGTGTAGGCGTATGCAAAAGCACAGTAGAGCCCTCCCTGTATTATCACATGACATCATAAGGTGTAACAGTGCCTTCAATCTGAGAGAAGAACTCAGCCTATATATGCACGGTTTGTGTATTAAACATGTGTGAATGAAACAAAACACAACTCCAAGTATGTTTTTGATGAGGAAATAATATTATAATATAGATCCTTTAATGGCCCTTTAAGCTATAGAGAAGTACAGTAGGAGCTTGCAGCTGCTGAGTCTTGCAGTGGGCAGTGCAATGGCTCCAAGAGAGAAATGTGCCCAGCGGCCTTGTACTGGTGACCAGGGGCGTCAGACTGTGGGGGTAAAGCGTACTGTATACCCAGAGTCCACTGCAGGGAGAGTCCCTCATAAAATTTTTAATGTGCATTTCTTCATTAGACAACATGTAGTGTGGGCCCACCAGATGATTTGTACCCAGGGCCCAGAACTTATTTACGTGCTACAACCCTGATGGCAACAGCTGCTTTCTGCTGTGTTCTACCTGCAAGCCTATAGGACTCATGGAAGATCTGTGCAGATATTTATACTTCTGGAGTGTAAAATGTCCTGACTTTTCTTGTATAATTAAAGGGGTCAGGGAGTGTGTCTGTAGTTTCAACACGCAGCCGGAGCTTCTGATGTGTCACAGCTAGAATCGCTCTTCAGCACCACAGCTTTCTACAGCTTAGGTTTCATCTTCAGTGTACAGCGGAAACAGTGGCCTTAGATGCACCTGTCACTGCTTCTTACATTTGTGGTTTTACATATAGATGGACATAGCATAACTGCATAACTGTTTATTTTTTGGTCAAATTTTTTTTTTTTTAAAGGGACAATATTACTCTGTTTTCTAATCTATGTTATAATGTTGTTTCCTCATCAAGAACATACCTGGAGTTGGGTTTGTTTCATCCACACGTTTGGCATTCAAACCCTTGAAATCTAGATTGAATTCTTCTTTCAAACAGAAAACATGTTGTGTGATAATGCAGGAAGTGTTCCATTGTGTTTTTAAACTGTACACATCATTACTAGAATCATTTGGATGATTTCAGCCCTGGAATTGTCAGTCTCTACTAAATAAAAGGTAAAATGTAGCTGTTAAAGTGAATACTACAGCAACATGACATTTTAACTTTGAGATGTAGACAAACTAATAATAAAAGGTTACTCAAACATATGTGAGCGAAAAAGAAAAAAAAACTCTATGTATGTTTTGAGGAGGTAGGAGATAGAGTCAGTTTTGTGTAATATAGGACCTTTAAATTCTACTCTCCAGGCCCTGTTGCTCTGTAAGCAGATCTGTAAGTCTCATTGGTTCTCTCCTTGGCCAACTAGACAGTTCTTTACAAAACGCAAAGACAAAAAAAACGATGCTATGAGGTTAACAGTGTGTTTATTGCATTGATGAATTTCAGAATGATGAAACATTCCCAACAATCAACAATTTAAAATGCATGGTGAAAAGTGAAAACAGGTATCTAAATTTAAGGTCTCATTTCCAAACCAGACCAAGATTTAGACTTTTTTCGTGACAAACAAGTGTATGCATTCTAGACATGCTGTATCTATGCCCTCCCTTGTAGAGCCTGACCTCTCTGACCCCGGGTTACACACATGCATTTGAACTTTTATTTTGAGAGCTTTATATTAAGGGCTGAGGTCAAAGGTCACACTATCACCCAAAATGGAAAACACACCTGTATGAAAAACCGTTATGAGGCAGTAGCCATTACTATGCTTGTTGCTGGGTAAGCAGCTGAGCCATAAGATTTCCATTGTTGCCAATTTCACAGACAGCAGTTGTTGCAATAAACCACAAGTTACATAATGGTATTGTGCATGGTATGTAGTTATGTTTTACTGTTGGTGAACTTATGTGTCACTGCAATGTTGTAGACTATACATTTACTTTGCTCTAATCCCCCTGCTATAAAACAGTAGGGGGGTCCTATCTGTCTTCTGTACCATAATCCACCCATGTAACTGATAGGAAGAACTGCGTAGGCGTCATAGCTGTTTAAGCAGAGATGAGTCATGAAGACCCTGGAGGCACTGTTGGTCTGAGAGTAAAAGGAGGAAGGCTTGGCATCTTTCAAATCCCACAAAAATGTCAAATGTGCCCACAGCAGCGTCTTGATGAGAGGAAACATCAGAGGTGGGGACGGTCTTAGCAAAACAAGATTCCAAAACAGAACAGGTTGTCTTGGGGATTATTTATTTTCACTTCTGTTTGTTTAACTCTTTGTTTGTTTGTTTGTTTATTGGGAGGGAGGTGTTTGAGAACATTAGAATATGTAATTTAAATGGAAATGTACTGTAAAATGTTTGAAAGTAATTATCATTGTTCAAGTGTTGGTCTGGAAAAGAGGACAGATAGATAAGATTAGGGAAGTTGGAGTTTATAAGTTTACACTACTTCCTACTCCTTTTTGAGCTTAATTGTAATGCAGCACAATATGTACAATCATATTTCATGTTGCTCAAATAAATGAACTGAAAAAAAACCCCAAAAAACTAAAAACGACTGTTATTCTCTCTGCTCTTTTCATACATTTTTCATGTTTAACTTTTTGACATTATGACAATAAAATAAAATAAATAAAGTAGCTGATGATAATAAGCGACAAGTTAAAGACCAGATTTGAACTCGGCCAGTACACTGATGTTCAGTATGTAGATTATGGTACTTCTGTACTTTGTTGCTGATATAAAACCATTGTCTACAGTATTCACCTCACTGTCCTTACTTCAGTGTAACACAAAGATACAGGAGCGGGATCATCAAAGCTTTCTTCTTTCAACTGTGCAGCTTACTCATCTTATCAGAGCATTTAACACATGTGGAAATAGAAGAAAGGAGCCATGAGGCCGGAGCCATTTCTTTAATTGGAACAGTGGGGCAATAAGAGCTTAGCGCACTGTTCTACCGAACATTGCCCACTCATGTTTGGGCGGTTACCAACGCCTAAGCACACAACAAGTTTTAGTGTTTTATAGTTGTCTGGATGTTCAGACTGACCAGCATAGAGACAACACTGAGAGATAACATACCAAGTTAATGAGAGGTAGGACAAATGGGACCAGTTCATATGTACATAGGCTATATATATTCTGTATTTCTAACATAGATTTTTCAGATGTATTGGAAAATTGGATATGATATTAGCATTACAGTTGATTTTCAATTTCTAATAATGCAGTCTTGATGAGATATATTTGTATGACTATATTTTAATATTTTATTTTTACTTGTACATAGTCATTAATATAATTGTGGCTTACTGACACCACTCTCTTTTTTTCTATTTGTTGTGATGTGTGAGTTACAGTGTCCAAATAATTTCCCTTGTGGATCAATAAAGTTTGTCTAAGCTAAGTAAGTCTAAGATCAAACGATTATTTTAAAGTCCTTTGTACGTTTGCTTAGCTTTATAATTGCTATTTGAATATGTAAAATGGCCCAAAATACTCCCAAATACCACCTACTTTTCCAATTCTTATATTGTATGAACTGTCAAAGTCAACTTAACTAGTTTTGTCGTATTCAAGTTCATTGCAAATTAGCTGTTAACCACCACAGTAGACACTAAAGCAACTGCTGTGTCTGTCAAGTTGAATGATGGTTATAGGGGGCAATAAAACCAGAAATAAGGCTGGAATAAGTCCACCCGAGTCATGGCATTTCACATTTTAACTGGGGTCAAATGAACCAAGGCTTCCGACCAAGGCCCTGTTCTTAATGGTTGTTAACCTTGACCACATGTCTCTGGATGTTCCGTGTATATCTCCCTCCCTCTGTATTTTTATCTGATGTGGATGCAGTTATCTGCTTTGGTGTAGAGTAACAGCCAGCCAGTGAGTGCCCTTCATCACTTCATTTGGACCATGCTCCAGTGAAAATCTAGAAATCATCTGGGTTGTTTTGTACCAGCATGGGTTTCATCTTCCTGTGTATTGGCACCATTTTAGACTTAGTTGTGTATTGGCAAAGATTGCAAGAAGAGAAAGATTGCATTTATTTCAGCACTAAGAAGCAACTGTGGTGTTTGGGTATGACATTTCTTAAGCTTAGACTTGGACAAACTTTATAGATCCACAAGGGAAATTATTTGGACACAGTAGCTCACATATCACAATATATTATAAAGACTAAGAGCAGAAATATAAATTGCAATAATACATTCAAAATAAGTAGCATAAATAACAAGAGACCAGTATCAAATAAGGCATACTTATATAAATGTTTATGTACAAGTATAAATAAAAATATAGAAATATAGTAATACAAATATATCTCTCAGGTATATACAAGAGGTCATAACAAGAAAGAGAGCAAAGATGAAATAGTGACTGACATGACAGAAGGTTATCTATTACATAAGGGTGATATGTCATACAGTTTTATGGCGTATGCTAATTTGAGTACTTTTCACCATTCAAAACATATAGTATTTTGTTTTGGATTATTAATTGCTATGGCAATGGTTCTAGTTTTTCATCACTCCGTGGATAGCCACACAAACACACACGGGGAGATAACATGAAGTGGCTGCAGGAGACACTTAGTCTGTGGAAGTCTTGTCTATCTCATGTAGTGACTCATCCCTAAAGTTTAAAGTGCGTATGTACAGATATTTATGTTCTTTTAATTATTACTTAATTCACTGAAGCCACTTAAATCTTTGTCATTGTTTTACATCTGTTAAGTGGGAGTTCATTTAAAAAATGTTAAGAAGAAAAGTACAAAGATACATAAAGTAGAAATGAGTTCTAAAAATACCTCTATCTGTGTCAACACAGAAACTTTCATTCAAAATGCAGGGACAATATGCACAAGGATGACATTTCTCTGTCACTTTAAACCTCGAGGTGTTATAATTTATTTATATTAGTCTAATCATCACTATTATAGTTGGCCCTAGTAAACATTATGGTTGCTAAGTAACAGCTATGGAAGTATCTCTAGGTATGTCATATCTGGTGCCTGTGTGCAACCAGGAAGTAAAATGGCAAACAAAATTTTGTTAAGTCAAATCAAGTCAAATATGCACTTTATCTAATTCAAGGCCTATATATATATATATATATATATATATATATATATATATATATATATATATATATATATATATATATGTGTGTGTGTGTGTGTGTGTGTGTGTGTATATATATATGTGTATGTGTGTGTGTACATATACACACACACACACACATATATATATACTGTAGACTGTACATTGTAGTACGGAAATGGCAGCAGGTCAGATTAGGGACCTTTTTAAAGAAACAGACCAGGACAAACAGTCTAAACCCTGTGAGCACAGAGGGGCAGAGGGGCAGGGGGCACTTCATATATGGACACTCTTTACCCTGGGGTACTTCTTTGGCCCCCCAGAGGCCTGCACCGTCCTGCTTTAGCTGCAGCCATCAAAGCCAGGGTAAACCTCCGGAATGTGGGGAGGTGTCTCTGGGAGTGTCCATATGAAGAAGAGACTAATACAGAACATTGCCCTCTCTCTAAAAATATCTCCCTTCAATTCCATTCATAATTCACAGAGGGATGTCAACAGTATTCGGTTAATTGATGACTGTGATGATTCAGGTCACAATATAATCGTAAGAACAAAAAATACATATACATAATTGTGACTGTTTTAGAAGCAACATTTTCAAAACTCTATATATAGTCCAAACAAGTAATTGTAACTTGACTTTATTTCATATGAGGATTTGATTTCTAAAAGCTGTTCACATACTAGACGAACTATAACGTTAAAACGTGTATAAAAGGAAAAAAAAGTATTATACTGTTGTTTGATGTAAATATTCATGAATAGTTCAATAGTTCAATCATTATTTCTTCTCGCAAACATTTGAAATTATTACCACCAATCAAAAATAAAGGCATTCATTAGTAGGGATGCACCAATCCAGTTTCGATACTATAGCTTTAAGTATGTGCTAGTACTCGATACCAACTTATGCAGAGACTGAAAACAGCATGTATTTTCTTAAAACAAGGTTAACATAAGACAAAATAGATCCAAATGTGTTATGTAGCTGTTATTTATCCCTCAAGTAACTGATGAACAGACTTTAGAGAGACTTATTATATTATCAGACATTCTTGGCTGACTACAACCAGGAAACAGTCTTAGCACATGTATATGTTCAACCAAGATAGTGCCTGAACCAATATTTGGAAACGGATATACAATCAAGCAGATTTTTCAGTATCTGCAACAATATCCAATGACAGTTTTGGATCATGCGTCCCTGAAATGCAGTCTAGGTCTAGGTCAGAAGTTCAACCTGTTCTGAAATATTATTCGGTCACAACAAGGGTCACCCAAAATACTGGACATATTTGCCCGCACTGACCGCTTCATTAGAAAAGACTCTCAAGTGACCACAGCCACTTTTCAAATTAACCAGCATCAGACGGAAACACGTCAACTGGCTCACACAATCATATCAGATATTCAACACGTTTATTTTTCCCTCTTGAACCTCAACTTTACCCTGTTTATGGTGACAACAAATACAGCATAATCCAGGTCGGCATCAAATTATCAGCAGCAGTGTTCTCTCAGCAGTGTCAGGCACGTAATAATGTTTTTGTTTAGATGGGGTTAAACTGGGGTTACTATGTGTTTGTGCCAGAATATACCAGAAATAGGTGTCGGGAAAAAATTCACACTACAAGATATCGCAAGTCAAAATTGTGAAAAATTATCTTGTGATTTTTTATTTTATTTTTTTCATGTGTTTTTCATATGTTCTTATTTGGTTCGAACAAACAAGGGGTAAGCACTGGTAGGGTGCAGATTTTTGAGAAGATGTAGTTCCAAAAGTAAGGGCTATACAATAATGACAAAAATAGAAAATTAAAAAGTGAGACTAAAATTGTGAACTGAACTGCACAATTTAATTATTATGAATTTGCTCAAAATCATGTCTTGTCTTGTGAACCTGAACTCGTGTCACTTGGTAATTGAGTCTTTTTCCATCCCTAACCAGAATATACCTGTATTACATAAGAACATATATATAAATCTCCTAATCTCCTATAGCTATGGTTTAACATGACTTGTAAACACAGCACCATTTGGACAGGCATAACACATACACACATGTGGCACAGTTGGAGTCCACAGCCTCTCTAATCCTTCACACAACTCAACAACCTCCTCAAATATAACTGTAGAACATACACTTAATGACATTTTCCATTTTACAAAGTGACCTAAAGCAAATTTGTGTTTGTTTTTTTTAAAGGTGCACTATGCAATTTTTTGGTTGGGAGTCTGTCATGTGCTTGTTTCTTCGTATATGGAACTGCTCTGCCTGGAATGTTCCACAGTATGACATTAAAAAGCTCTGCCTCACATTTATTCAATTACTGGTGTTTTTTTAGCTCCAGAATATCTAGAAAAACATTCTGACTATGAGCGGGGTTGCCTCTCCACAGGCTCCTGTAACTTGGTCTGGTTTAGGCTTCATGATGATAGAAAGGATTAATATCATACTGTGAAACATTCCAGACAAATCAATAACATCTCCACAGAGAAAAGAATTTCTCCACCAAAAAAGTGACACAATGCACCTTCAAATTAGAACAGATCTGCATCTATAATGAGCAGGGTCAGTCTTGTACAGTGGCTTCTACAATGATAGACTGAATCAAGCCTATCAAATAAAACCAGTGATAAAAATAATTTGTCATTGATTTATTGGTAAGTCCAAGACTATTTAAAGACTACATAAGCAACAATAAATCAGAAGGGCCAGTCGTGTAACTTGACAAGTGCTACCTTGCACTGGTGTAACAGATATGGAGGGAAAAAGAGGTGTTAGAATTCAAAACATGGTCATTATGCAAATTTTGCAAAGCTTAAAAACAAATAATTAGTTGACCTAATGAGAGGGTGATATAAGTAGACTGTTATAGGAGTCACTCTTAATTATCTTAAACATTTTAATAAACTATAGATAAATTATGTCTTTTTAACAATTAAATTAAATGAAGTCTTAATGAAAAAAAAGTCATGCATTGTCAGTTACATTAGGACTGGGTTTGTGCAAAATATTTTATAAGAATATCTGATCATGCAATTAAGCCTACAGAATAATTACAATGAGGAATGTTGCCATGGTGATTAACAAATTAAAAAAAAAGTCCTATCTTTTGCATGGTGAAAAGTCTTCAGAATGTCAAAAATAACAAAAAGCTGAAACAAATGATCATGCATATATCACTAATAGCAACATGCCTGGTTGCAAAAGGCTGTAGTTAACTTTACTTTATAAAAATTTTAAATGGGCTCACCCTTGGTAACCGGTCACATTTGCAATGACCAAAAGCGTCTTCTCCTTCCCTCCCATGTTTCTCATGGGTGTGATGGAGCCTTGTTCGCTCTTCGTCGGTCTGATGGTGTTTAGATCCTATCCCTGGATGCTTGGTCCTCCTGTTTCAAGATCAGCCAGTGTAACAGACAGTGAGACAGTCAACTCAATGTAAGCTCTGGCTGCTTGTGTCTCTCACAGCAGACATCCAGAGATAAGCAGGGGAGAGGGGCGGGCAGGGGGACAGGGGGGCAGAGGGGCAGAGGGGTGGACTGTGTGTGGGGGTTATCTGCTCTGGGACCCTGGGACCACGAGCAGGGACAGAGTGGAGGAAGTGTTCCAGGGAATGTGGCTTGTTATAGAGGAACGGGAGGAATGCCCCAGCGCTGTGTGCGTCTGTGTGTGCGTGTGTCTGAGTGCATGTGTGCGTGTCTGTGTGCGTGTGCGTGCGTGTGTCTGTGTGTGTGTGTCTGTGTGTGCATGTGTGTGCGAGAATAGGGATGAAAGAGCGAGAGGGGGAGCAGATACAGGAGGACTTCATTAAATACTATGTGGTCGACTTATATTTATGGTTGTTGTAGCATTTAAATTCAGTTCAAGGGCACTGAACATACGGTATATGAAACCTACTATCATGAAAATGTCTCATGGTTTACGGTTTATGCCATTCACTCTTAAGAATCATAAAATACTTTCATTTTTATGACAACTCAAATTTGTGTAGGGCTGGACGATATGCCTAAATGTTTTTCTGTCATTTTGAGCAATCTGGATTTTTTATTTTGTATTAAAGAGAAATAAAGTGGGCGTCAGTATTCACCATTTAGACTCATTGCTATTTAAAACAAAAAAATAGTCCACACCTGTTGAAGACCGGTTGTGGACCAATATAATACATAAAGCAGGCGTGTCCAAACTATGGCCCTTGGGCCAAATGAGGCCCTCAGACAAATTTTTCTTGGCCCCCAGGCTTCCAGTTGAATTGACCCAAATTACCTTGCATCAATAAAAAAAATTACTTTTTAATGTAAGTTTTTTGAAAATCTGCCTTGATAAAGTTAATATTTAATATTTAGTGTGTGTTTTTAAGGATCTCAGCATGAATAAAAACTGATGGCTCATTCTAACGTGTTAAACATGCACATATTTCAATTATTCTCTGTATTGAGAACCAGTCTATCAGCCCTCTGCTTAGTCTGTGTTTAGATACGTGGCCCTTGATGAAAAAAGTTTGGATACCCCTGACATAAAGAGACTGGGGATGTGTGTTATATTATTATATTATATTTTGTTTAAGATTTTTAATTTAAGTCACTATACTTTAATTTACTTATTGATAGAGTAATCCATTATAACTATGTATTAGGTTAATAATAATAGTTAGATTGAATACTACAAATCTATTGGCAAGAGGTCTGAGGCAATATATTATTTAAGTGATATTCTGACAGCTCTACTACACAGTACTATACATTACAAAGCACATTCATTAAAAGTATTCCCTACAGTATATTATCTGAATAACAGTTAATTCAAATACAGGTGCAATAGCGGTTTTCATCATCACAACAAAATAAATCATCTCACCTGTTGTAGTTCCAACCAAGTCAGTTCTTTATGTACAGACTGTTAGAATAAAACATATATAGGACTTTTCCAGACACTCAAAGATGCTTTACAGAGCAGACTGACTGAAGAGAGGCTGCCAATCTGCACCATCGGCCCCTTCGACCATCACTCACGCACATACCACTTCATACTAGACAATGTGGGTGAAGTGCCTTGCCTAAGGACACGACTGGCGCCAAACTGTGGCACCTGATTTTCCCAGCGGTCTCCCATCCAAGTACTAACCAGGCCTGGCCTTGCCTAGCTTCTGAGATCTGATGGGATCAGGCTTTGACAAGCTTGTACGGCCACAAAATAAAGCTCAGATTAAGTCTAACTTGAGTAACAGAGCTTTAAACATAGTAGTGCTTCCAGGTTCAAAGTATCAATATACCCACGGAACTATCTAGAACGACCAAACATGGGCATTGCATGGCCACGTTTCTCCTCTCTGCCTCACGCTGTTGGAGGATTATCCCATTATCATGTATTGTGTTTGACCTGTCTCCTCTGCTGTTCTCCTGACCTCCACATATCTGAGCCCTCTCTCACTCATCTGAGCAGCGCCCCTCTGTCCCTGCACCTTCACTCTCTCTTAGCGTTAATTGACCAAACTGTTGCATGTTGCCGTAGGGTTTAACAGTGCTTTACATAGGTCCCTGAGAGTCGCCTCGTGCCAAATGTTTGTATTCCACTCCTGCTATATATAACTCATCCTAAATTAGATTATATTGGGACATTGTTTGTCAAAGCTAAGATTGTGCCACTATACCGTATCCATATAAAGAAACTGTTCTGGCGGTGTGTATGCTTCCGGCTTGTCTCTGTTGAGATGTTGTTGCTTTGACTGGAATGTTCCATAGTATAGCATTAAACTTATCTGTCTAACATTTGTTACATATATACCTTGAAAAAAATGCTTTCTTCTTGAGAGTGACGTCTCCTCTCCACAGATCTGACATGTAATTTGTATAATACAACATTAACATAATCGACAAAGCAATAACATCACCAAAAAAACAAGCAGGTGGTATATTCTCCCTCAGAAAAAATATTCAGAGCATCTTTAAGTCAACAAGAAGTAAAAGAAATGTTGCTCAAAACAAAATCAAGGGGAAAATGGGCTGATTTGGAATGGAGATCAACAGTGGTCGCCCACCTCCTGGTTCCAAAGGTAAATTTCCCATACATTTTTCCCATAGACATAGAACAATAAATACTAAAATTTTGCAAGCTTGCTCAGGGCTAATCAGCTACATGGTAATAATGACCACAACACCTATAATTTTATTTAAAAACTGTTTCTTCAAATTTATAAACCCACAAAGTAATTAAAACACTTTGCAGAATCTTGTGTTTTAAACTGTCTTTTTTAACTTAAAACGGCCGACCGCGTTATAGATATTGGTTTATCCTGTAGCTGCTCACCGTCCGCGATGCCTTTGAAATCTTAATATTTGAATGTTCCGAAATGGAAAATTTACATCCGAAACCAGAGAGGACTTCAAAGTGGATGGAACTACTGAGATGGGAATAATTCATCTCCGAGTGATTTGGTCTTAGACAAAAATATTAACCATTGTAAATAGATCATTTCCTCATACTCTAGAATAAGTCATTGTGGTTGTTTCATTTGTGGAGACTTTATTTATGGAAGTTTTGTAAGTCCATAAGTATGTTCACCAACAATAATACTTTAGGCAACAGCGTCATAACTGTGATAAGATAAGCTGTTCCACTCAGGACACTGGGCTTCCAAAGAAGTGTGGCTCTGTCCAACACAGAAACACAGGGAGCATTCAGGAGATAAGGCATTTAAACAACTGAACAACACAAGCTTTTAAATGTCTAAAGGTAATGATCTAATACAGTAAGCTTATTTTTAAAAGGACAGTAATTTACATGGGTCCTTTGTGTCACCTTTTGCTAAATATTTGTATTCTATTCCTGTTATATATGCATTATTCAGTTGATAAGGCATCTAAACAACTGATCAAGTCTGTGGTAAATTACTCAATATTGTATTTCTAGACAGACGTGGTCATTAAAAAAATAGTTGCATTTTGATTTGGTTCATTTTTACCTTTTTTATGAATGGATGTCCTAAAAAGTCAACTCAAGAAAATTACAAACAGAGGATACATTGACATAAATGACAAATAATAAGAGATCGTTAAATATATAAATATATATATAAACTTATAATTAGAGCAAACCAGACGGAGGCCAAAACTTCAGAGTCATAGCTTCACAGTCCAGCCATTTGTTTGTGCTCCAAAAGGTTCAGAAAAACATTCAGTTTGAAGTGGGGTTCATTTAAGTCAAATGTTTTAGGTAAAAAAAAAATGATTCAATGTAACATTCAACTACACTATGTAAGCAGACAGTTCTAAACTAAACTAAACTAGATTTCTTATTTTCTAAAATCTTATATGCCATGTCATCTGAGCTACCAAATAATCAGCTTACCTCTGTGTTACATGCAATAAATAAATTAACACCACAGTTGAATGGTGAATAGAAACTACACACTCTACTAAAAATAAGTGTAATGTGTTTATGCAACACGTGGTTATGTCATGCAGCCCACTTTTTAACAGTGTTTAGTTTACAATATAACTGATCTCAGAAACAGCCGGGACAGTTTAACAGCTTTGTTTATCGTAAAGTATTTTCATTCCAAAATGCCTCATAAAGCGCCTGGTACAGCTTTATTAGAGATATCATGTACCATTGGACATGTGAATCGTTGAGATGTTGAGTTGACATTTTCGTATTATTATGATTGCCAGTAAATATCTTATTCCTATTCTTAATTTAGAGTTTATTCATACTTTGCAGTGAGACAGCATATTCCTTCATTTGTCCAGGAGTAATTCAATGTTGAGAAGGTTTCATCTGTGATCATCTGTCATTTTCAACTGATGAAACTGGCTGGCTAGGAGGTCCAAGCCAGTTCCAGTTCCATGAACCAAGTCCAGATGATCACAGATGAGACCTTCCCTACATTTATATACTTTGCAGTTATAACACACTGGGAATATTCTAGCTACATGTATTTCTATGGTGCTATGTTCAGCAGTTACCATGAAGACACAATGCACACATAAGCAAACACTGTCAAAAAAGTTTTAAGATCAAACTCAGCAACAATTTTTGAGGCGTTTGGTGTTCAACAATGAAGGTGAGAATAACTAACTGAAAAGCTATTGGCTAATGCTAGAAAAATATTGTATAACATTTTTATGCATTATGAATAATACAAAATACAATAGATCAACTAGAGAGATTGATCAAAATGAGGAAAGAAAGCAGAGATATCACGTAGCCTAACTAATAGATAGTTACTGAAACTAGTATTGATACTAATTTTTTTTGTGTTTTAATATTGATACTGAAACCACTAAATAATGTATCCTATATCAGAGCTGTCACGTGGTACTATTTAAGATACAACTATTACTTTGTGTGGAAAATGTGTTTGTACAGTACATAGCATGTTTCTTATCTTTGTGAAACTGAAATTTGTAGCAAACATTTTCCTTTCTATCGGAGGGTCCATCAAATGCTGGTCACCGTGGAGATATTATTACTTTGTCTGGAAAGTTTCACAGTATAATATTAATCTTTTCTATCATCATGGAGATCAAACCAAACCAAGTTACATGTTAGATCAATGAAGAGGCAACCCTGCTCACCATCAGAATGCCTGTTATAATAGATATTTTTTTAGCTATAATAAGCCCATGTAATTTAAATGTAAGTTAAAGCTGTTTAATGTCATACTGTGGAACATTCCAGGCAGAGCAATGACATCTCCATAGAAACAAGTAGGTGACAGACCCCAAACCAAACCAAAAAGTTACAGAGTGTACCTTTAATAACTCAAGTTTGAAATGTTAGCATCATGAACCCACTACTGTAGAGATGTACTGGCTCACTTGACACACAATTCCAGGCCTGTGTATAATCTTACCTGGAATCTCAAACAGGAGGCTGGATTCCTTGATGATCCCTGAGAAGGTCACAGCTGCCGGGGAATACAATGGGGCCAACAGGCTTCCCACCACCACAGACACACGGGAGCTGGACAGAGAGAGGAACTAGATGACATGTCTGTTACTGTCTGCATGTGTCACTATCTGATGTACATTCTTATGGTATTAAAGTTATGGCCAAGTGATGATGAAATTTGCTCATAAAAAAGTATAACTGAATCATGAATAGGTAATATGTAAAAATATAGTAGTAGACATTTCGTCATATTGGTGGTGCCTCAAAGTTAGTCCTCTATATTTTTAGTCTTCTTATTAAAGGACATATGACTAAGGCTTTGATTATTCTCAAATTTTGACTTAATTTGGTGGGATAATATCTGTTGTAAATATAAATTATAGTTTTATAACAAGAAACAAGAAACAATTTGCAAAGAAAAGTTGAGAATTACAGTAAGTGCAGAGTTCTACTTTAAGGAGAATTCTGTCTAAAAGTTCGGCATAATTTATAGAAACAATTTTTTTCAAAATGTTCTTATATTTTAATTTGTCAAACAATAATCTCTGTGTACATTAGCATTTTGGCCCAGTGTACTACGTGTTTTTTTTATGGAATTCTCTAGCGTGATGTCATAATTTCCAATCAAAAGGTACACATTTAAACCTGCCTAACTGCCAAACTGGGATTATTTATTTATTTATTTACTTTGTTAATCTTAAATATAACAATCTTAAGTGTGTTTTAGTGAAATGAGCAGTCCACCCTTAAAATCTTCCAGAGGTTATCAAGTTTGAGAAGCAATATATTCATGTGAATCTGTGGATGTTTATAAAAAATGTAATATCCAATAACTATATTTAGTTTTGTTTTAGTATATGACATTCATATATTTTAACATATTGAATTTCGCCCTTAAATCTCCAGCACAAGCCAATATTTTGTTTTGGGTGATCTTCAGCCTAAAAATACCCATAAAGGCTTATCGGCCATTGGTTGTTCTGGATTCTAAAAATCAATATTTATTGTTTTTGACATTTCACTTCTGTTATTTTAGCATAAATCGAAATTACTTTGTTTACCAATTTACCTGGGTCAGAAAATACACACAAAAATTAACCATCAAACTTAGTTAGGACAAAATAAATACAATTATGACTCTTACATTTCAATGTATAAAAACAATAAATTTCTAATGAAAAAAAAACATATACTGCCATAAATGTTTTGTTTGTTTGTTTTTTGTTTTTTTAATAAAGATATTGCGTAAGACAACTATGCATTTATAATTTTGCAATTGAGAAGCAACATAAGACAAATTTGCCAAATAAGTCCTGACACGCCACTTGGGTCAGAGGTGATCTCTGAGGTAGTAACATACAGTACATTGTACATAGCGTCCTGTCTGAGTTGGTTTAATTTGGGCAGCTGAATCGCTCCAGATTCTGTATCAAATGCGTAACACAAGATTTAATTGCATCCTGTGGTTGGCGGTCTTCACAAGTAATTGAGGGAGGTATGTATAGGCCCCTTTAACATGCCACTGTGTTGAGCAATTACGGCACAGTCGATATGGATATAGTCACCATACACATTTTGTACATTCAGAAACAGATACAAGCAGATGCTCGTGACTATTAAAGGTGTAGAGGAACTTTGTATTTAAAAATCACAGTATAACATTACCTTTTGAGATGCTAAAGTAGTACCTATGTTGTATGTATTCAGCAAATAACACATTGCCAGAATTAACTGTAATCATAGGCTATACAGAAGTGGACTAAAGGAGCCTAATGACACCCAGTGTTTAGCTCCAGTTAAATGAAGCTCATGATGCTAGCAGTTATAGGCCTGAATTTGGAGCCGAGTTCGATATTAGGAATAGGAATTTATTTACGGACAAAACTGCTAAATAAATTCAATTTGAGCCAGAGTCGAAAGTGCCCCCCATGAACAATTCCTGTTTGAAACACGGCAGCCAACACATTAGCTACGTCCATTCATATATACAGTCAATGATTGTAATTATTACCAATTTTATTATTTTTTATGTATTTTTTATGCAAAACTCTAAAAGTCTGAAAGTTATAAAATGTGCTTATCAGCTCATCGAGGTGAATAATTAGGATGCTCGAAATGCATGAATTAAGTGAGGAATAAGCTTGGACCACTGCAAATTTCTTCAAATAAACTAATTCTGTTTTCTACAGAATTACTGTTTTTTACAGAATTACGGATTTTAAATTTTTTTTAAACCATAAAAATCAGGTGCAGAGCCTTTAAGTTAAATCCATTGTGATCAGGTGGGCTGCCCATACAGTCATGTTTGTGGTTCCTAGTTGTTCTCTGATGATGGACAAATGTTGTGGAATAAATACTTGACCCCAACACTTCTGTTTACTTTATCAAAACTTTTTCCAGCTCCGCCCTTTGCCAGTCCCATATCCACCGTGCGGCTTCATTTGTCACACTTGGCGAAGCTATAAGCAGGCTTTAGGGGGATCCAGACCAATGTTTGTTTAGTAATTTGTGCCAGATCATTTAAGCTGTAGTTCCAGTGTGTTTGACCATGTGTCTATTGCATTTTCAGTGTCCTCCATTGGCACACTAAAGGACAAAGGTAAGATAAGTTAAACAATGTGAAATCCTACTCACGGCTGGGTGCCCCATCCTTGGCCTTCCTCACACTTCTGGTGCTGTGCCCGTGCTGCTTTATCTTCCACTCGTAAATATATCGGAATAACAGATACTGAGCCAGCCCTCCTAGAGCCCTGACAAGACAAATATTAAACATGAAGGTGTGGGATGAGTGTCAATGTCTAATTCTAGGTCACTTCACCACAAGGTTTCAAGAGCAGGTCCATCACTGAGAGTTCGTGTTAATGGGGTAGCAATAGAGTGGTCTAAAATTAAGAGTGGTTGAATTAACAAAATGTATTTTTAGTACAAGTGTAAAATCTGGGGCAAATGTGCAGCTTACTGTTAAAATAATACATGTTAGTGCACACGCATGAAAACTTTAAACAAATATTTGTGACATTTTATATCAAACCTGAATTGAACCTGGAAACTTCTGCATATTGTTACTATGGCAACAACATATAATGCCAGAAAAAAGCTCTCAGCTTTCATTTTGGATTTTTTCCCCCTCCAAACTATAAAATACACTTTTATGTATTTAAAAAGCAGAAAACAATACAGCTAATTCCAAACCATATTGCGCATGGTAATGTGTTAAAAAAAATAGTAATGCCATACTGTGGAACATTCCAGACAAAACTATAGCAATCCAATCCACTTTATTTCTAGCTGTACATCACACTACGCACTGCAGATTTTTTGCATTTGTACCAAAATGACTATGCAATGCTTCTGAATGCCATACCTATTACAGATTAAGAAGATAAATCAGAGCAGTTGGGATATGCCGGTGGCAGTGAAAACAGAGGTTGATTGACAAAATGGCGTTTTAAAATAAGCGATCAAAGATTGCTCAAACATATGAATGTACAAATACACTACAACTTTGGGCGAGTAAATGGTGAGGGGAAACAACTATAACATGGCTTTGAAAAGTAAATTTTGTATAATAGGTCTACTTTAATATAGTAGAACACATAAGGGGAGCAACAGAAATTATGTGCACATGTACTTTTCACGTGAGCCACAGTGAATAGTACTTTTATGTTTTCTTATATCCATCTGGCTGCAGGGTGTGTGGTGGAGTCAGGCTTTCTGTTGATGGACCTTGTTGACAGGGCTCAAAGATGCTGCTGCTAATGGAAATGCCAGGGTCAACTGTGAGGGCATTACACCTCAGAGACTCAGGCCCGCATTAAGTTTCCAAACTCAAAGGGATTTTACAGAAGGGATAAGCTGATGAGGATGGCACTAAAAGCTCAATTTGGGAGATATGTCAAATGCAATCCCTTCTTCACAACAATGCCAACAAAAGTGTCAACCGGATTCCAAAGAAAGTATAACAAATTTGAGAGGCTGCGTATACATGCACATCAGTATCCCGGTTATTAGCCATATCCCGGTTATGTCAGTATTCGGGTTACTGCGTTTACATGCGCACTGAGAAACCGGGATACTCATATCCGTGTATACATGATCAAATGGAGTATCCCGGTTTCTTGACATAATCTTACAAATGCGCAAGTGCAAAAATTAACTTTCATAAACCAGGAAAAATACAAACCGTGAGCTCCTTTAGCATAAAAAGCTAAGGAGCTACGAGATATCCCACAATCCACTGTGCAGATCAAACCAAACAGATTCTTCATTAAAATCTTGTGCATAAATAAACTCAACTTTACAACATATAAACCATAACCACTGTAGAGCCACATCAGCCCGTTTGATAATATAATTTAGATCACATTTGTTTATGTTTTACAGAAACGTCACCGCATCGCTTATTAGCATAAACTGTTAGCGGTGATAAAAACAATTCGCTCCTTTGTGCCGCTGATGCGATCAGCTTCTTTTGTACTAAATGACACGACTCTGTGGATTATGTGTGTTATTTTTATGACAGAAGAGGCGCTAATGATGGTAAATCTGTTCTGTGCGTGTGTTGTATAGGAGATAGTTCATGTTTTATCTTTTCAGCGCTCACACAAGTGCAGGTCGTACGAGTGCAGATTGTACGTGTGCAGGTTTAGCGCAGCTCTTAATTTTACAGTCATTTTACTTGTGTGGTCACTTTATTTATGTTGGTCAATTTATTTATGTCGCTACTGTTGTGGTGAAAAGACTGGAAAGTATCTTTTGGACGCATGCGCACTCAACTTTATGTTGCAGTAACCGGGATACTGCGTATACATGCCATAAGTATCCCGGTTACTATCGGAATAAACCAGCTACAGTAACCCGGTTTCTAATAACCGGGATACTGAAACCGGATTACTGTGTATACATGCACCATGAAGAAACCGGGGTACTCAAAAAACCCGACCATAACCGGGTTATTGATGTGCATGTATATAAGAATGCAATCTACATTCTATCTATCATCTATATAATATACTGTACAGTAAATCATATTGTACTGCCAGTTATTTTATTGCTACAGAACACGTGTAGGCCTATTATATCAATGGGTTTCAGCTTCCTGTTATATATCTCTATATATATCTATAGAGGGCTTTTCCCCATTCAAATGATATTTCTAATTTGCAGCTGATGTCATCAATAATCCCTCGGGGTGTGATGCTAACTGAAAGCACTACTCTGTAAGAATTTTACTAACACTAGACTTAATCTGATCTTAATTTTAACACAATCTGACCAGAGAGATCTGATTTCGTTGGAACTACAACAGGTGAGATGATCTGTGTTCTTAGCTTAACAATTCTCCCATAAATAAAATTAGAGTCATAAAATAGCTATAAGCTATAAGACCTTGTATTTTTAGTTTTCAGATGATCTTAAAACTTTTTTGTTCTTGTTTGCTTATGTGTGCATTGTGTCACCATGGTAATTGTTGACAATTCCACCAATAGAAATACATTATAGAACACTCCCAGTATGATCACTGCAAAATATGTCATGTCTCATCTTTCTGAAACCCATGGAAAGCACCACAGGGCCATCAGGGGATCCCGCTGACTGAAAGAATCAAAATAGCTCCCTCTACTGGCATACTTTTAGAACAGCATAATGTATGTATGGCCATAGTGTAGTTAGTATATAGTGTAAAATTCCTTCAGGATAATTAGCCCATTAAATTATTTGGATACAGAAATTCAACAATCTATCTGTGGTTTTACTATAAATAAATTCTATATAGAAAGTCAATAGGATTCTAGTTATGTGACCAAAGGTCTGTGGCCGAGGGTCACCATTAATCAGCCATATTTCTCATGTTTTATTGGTTGCCATGGCTGCAGTGTGAGACAGTCTGAGGTAAGCAGACTGACTCTACATCAATCATCTGACACACCTCTCCTCACATCTAATGCCTTGGAAGAATGAAACATTGACCTACTAACTGCATATTTTATGGTACAGCATGAGAAAAATAAAAATGTGTCATTTATGTGTTACTGTTAGATAGTTTGTTGCCTGCAGGTATCATGGGTGCAAACTTGCATTGTAGCTTTAATTGAGAACAAACCTTGCAATGGCATCATGCTGAAGGTTAGATATGTATCTCTAAAGTTGTAAAATTTAGTTAGTAGCTACCATGGTGGCACAATGCACAAAGTAAACACTTTCAAAACCGTTATGAGTGTTGGAAAACACAAAATGGATGTAAACAACACATTTTCAGGAGCCTGCGATTAATACAAGGGTTGTTGGTCCTGTTTTGGATCATCTGTTGTAGTTCCAGTTCCAGTTAGCATCACAACCCAAGGAAATGTTGATGAAATCAGCTGCAAAGTGTCAATTAGTAAAGCGTACTGCCGATAAGAAAAATGTAAAAAGAAAAAAAAAGAAAACATGTTAGGCCTACTGCAAAGAGAGGCCTATTTTTGTCAGCAACAGAAACAAAATACTTATTTATAATATTTTAATTCGAGTAAGTGGAGTACTGTCTGTTGTACCTTCATCATCTTCAGCACCATCACAAAATTGTAACTTGACACCCAAATGTCAAATAACAGCCTGCAAATACACTGTATCACGTGTTTTCAAATTAGAGTAGTTCTTAACAAATGATACATAGAAGAATGGTAAGTTCTACTAGGCAGACAAAAAGGGTGGCAATCTTATTACAATATTTTGTCCAGTGTGTGGCTCAAAGTTATTTTGAAAAGTAATAGGCTATAATAAGCAATTATAACTTTTCTCATCAGTTCACTCAATCATTTACAATTCTTTTAACACCCGGGACAGTCCCAGTTTTGAGCCCTGTGTCCCCTGTCTCAGAAGATTTATCCAAACTAGGGATTTGTCCCAGTGTTATACAAGATATGTTCCATTTGTGCCTATTTTTGACGAATTTGATACAGGTGAAAATTAAAGGGAGGTATATATTTTCATTTGTTTAGGTAAAATACAGAAAAGCTTCTTAAAAATTATCAGAACACAAAGAAAGTGTGACTATACTGACTCACATGTTAGTCGTGAATAAATCATGAATGGGCCGAGTTTTATTAGTGTACTACTAACCACTCCAAACCGGGGGTGTCCCGGTGTCCCAATGGCTACTTTCTTTTTTATAGCTTTCCTACAGCAAATCTATAGGGGACTGTCAATTAGTGGTGGTAAGTTGGAGCACCTAGTCTGACTCACTGGGGCAGATTGTTCGCTGTGCACTGATTCTTTACTATGAAAGCACGCGCTAAACTTCCCATTCAGTTCCCCATTCTTTGTAGTTTCTGTGTCCGGTCTAAAGGCTGCGTATCGTCAACGGCATGTGCTTATGGCGCAGCACGGGTCACACCCACAAAGTGCACGGTCATTCGTTTATAGATGAACGCGGTCTACCGAACTTCCTCCTCCGTCAGCTTCAGCGGAGTTTGCTTCGCCTTTAGGGGCCTTTGGTGCGTTCTCCTCTGCCTCTGCCTTCTACTCGACACGCGGGTTGTTTGCCAGCAGAGCGCACTTCTCTCACACCGGAAGAAGGAAAAGGTAGGCGGCAGAATCCAGCAAAAACAGCAGCCTGCCTACTGAAATTTTACTTAGAGGTGGTAGTACTTTGTAAGCCTAATAAAAAGTAGTAATAAACTAAATTAGATAACAACATACGATTAAAAAGTCACATTTTGCTTTATTATTTTTATTTATTTATTTTCTTTATTTATTATTTATTTATTGAAATGATGCCCATTATGGCAGACTAGGATTAGGTTCCCATCTGGATGATCTAGCTGCTTTCTTAATGGAGATGCTATTGCTTTGCCTGGAATATTCCACTGTATGGCATTAAATATAATCTATTCTCATTGAGACACATGTTTCAGGGTGTTTTCAGCAATAAAAACACAACACAAAATTATATAATAGAGCATACTATCTCTGTGAAGACAACCAGGTGGCAGATCCTACATAATGCAGCTTTAATCACTGCAACATTCAGCAAGTGCAACATCTCACTTTTTGATTCCAGGTAAACCAGACCTCAGCCATGGCGTCTATCTCCATTTCAAACACAGCTTTTGCCTTGGAGCTGCTCCGCACTTTGAGTCAAGCAAACCCCAAAGGAAACATCTTTGTGTCTCCTCTCAGCATCAGTTCAGCTTTAGCTATGGTCTACTTGGGAGCAAAGGGAGACACTGCTTCTCAGATGGCCCAGGTGAGCACTGTACAAGCAAAGTATGTTTTATTAATAGGATTCTGTTCAAAGATCACATTTTAAGCATCCATGAGAATTGAGAAAAAGAAATATGAACTGACAAACAATTACACAAATCAGAAGTATTTCAGAACACATTTTTACTGATCTAAACTTAACTTTTTGTGTGCAGAATAAGACCAGATAATGTCATGTTTTGTGGAGGAAAAAATGGCACTTTAGAAAATGCAGCCTTTGTGTTATGCCAGTTGTGTCCATTCAAACTGTGACTTCGATCTGCTTTTTGATTATTCTTGCAGTCATAGAAACTTCATGCTGTAAAAGGCATATCTGTTAGAAAAGGTGCATTTATCTGCAGAGTGACAGATGTGTCAATGTGTACTTTGACCTGAATGAGCCCTACCTCAACAAGATATGCACTGTTCCTGTTTTAAAGCATTCGGTTGTAAAACTGCAACTCTATCTGACTTTTTGAAAGCAGTTTACTTGCCAGAACCAAAACCCTCACAAAGCTTACTGTGTTTGACTTTTCACAACTGATGACTCTTCTTGCTACCACTTTACACACTACAACATAACACAGCTCTAGTAGACCAGTATAATGCAGTTATAAACTTCAACATAGCATACCAAATGTCAGCAAAGACCTCACACCTATAATATAAAACTTTGATACAGCAAAATACATGATACAAAACTATAATAGTTCATTATAGTGGACACCATATTGTATTGGGTACATTTGTCATACTGTTTTGTGTCAAACTGTAGCCTATAATCAGGTTTATATGTATAATTCTCACATGATGAGCTCAGGTATATCACGCTCCCACACTACAGTTCAAAGTCACCCTGAGTGCCAACATTCATTCATTAAATTTCCTATATTACACACACACATTTACTCTTTTGAGCTATAATGTTGCTACCTCATCAAACACATGCCCAGAGTTATGTTTTGTTTCATTCACACATGTCTGAGTACTCTTTTATTATGCGTCTGTCTACATCTCACATCTCAAAATGTTCTGTCACAAAGCTGTAGTTTTCAAGATACAGCTATCTTTTGTTTAGTAGAGATTGGCAATTTGAGAGCTGAAATTATCCAAATAATTCTAGTGAAGGTGCCTGGAGCTTAAATACAGTGTAGAGCTTTTTGTATTACCACATGACATCACAAGGTGGAGTATTTTAAGTTTATGAGAAGAACTAAGTCTAATTATACACGGTTTGTGTATTAATGATGTATTGGAAACCATAGATTGGAAAATAGCATGATATGACCCCATTAAGACAGCCCCATACTCCTCCACATCAGTCATGGGTCCATCCTTTTGCCTATTTAGGACATTCTATAAACAAATGTGCCTGAATGTTTACAAGAACCTGCACAGATATGTTGGGTTTCCATAGGTTTTGTGGACATTGATTTCCTTGAGACTGAACCTAGCCTTAACCATAGTCACTACTTGTCTAAACCTTAACCCTAATCAATTGTTAATTTAATACTTAATAGTAAAGGATTTTTGTCATAAGGACCTGTTTTTTTTTTCTTTAAGAGAGTCAGGTTCAAATCAAGTGAATATATATACAGATTTTAGTCCCCATATTAAAACAACACACAGACTACACATTTGTAAAAAATAAACCAACACAAAAAGTACACAGTTTGTTAATATCTTTATATGCTTGTGGCTAATAAATTAATGGTCTATTTTTCCTATAGGCTCTGTCATTCAGACAAGGTGACGCTGTCCATGCAGACTTCCAGACACTCAATAGTCAAATCAATGCACCAGCTGCCTCCTACATCCTGAAACTCGCCAATCGTCTATATGGAGAAAACACATGTAACTTTCTATCAGTGAGTTTTGCTTTTCATTTGAATTAGTTATTTGACATTATTATTATTATATATTTTTCATTATATGTTTGCATTTTTTATTTACTGAGATGTGGTTATTTTTAGGCATTCCTAGAGTCCACAAGGAAGCACTACCAGGCTGATCTGAAGTCAGTGGATTTTATTGGTGCTCCAGAAGAATGCAGAGCCGAGATCAACACCTGGGTCGAGGAACAAACTGAAAGTAGGTATTTGTTTTTCAAATATTCATTACATTTTAGATTATACATTTAATGGAATTATTTTTTTGTGTCTAGACAAGATTAAAGACCTTCTGAAACCAGGGACTGTCAACACCATGACCAGACTGGCTCTAGTTAATGCTATTTACTTCAAAGGAAATTGGATGAATAAATTTGATGCAGCCAACACCAAAGAAATGCCTTTCCACATCAGTGGTGTAAGAGCAAAGTTACATTTATACATATTTTATTTAATTAATGCTGCATTACATGGTATTTTGTGTCCCACAGAATGAGACCAAACCAGTTCAGATGATGTACCAGATGAAGAAAATGCCATTCAATTACATTCCAGACCTGGGCATGCAGATTGTTGGGCTGCCCTATGTGGATGAAGATCTGAGCATGTACATCTTATTGCCAGAGGAGACCAGTGCTGGTGCAAAAGGCGTTCACAAGGTGCCAGCCAGCCATAAACCTTTGTGTTTAGTAGTAGTAGTAATAGTAGTAGTAGTGAACATGAAATATGCAGTATGTAACTTTTGGATGTCTGGCATCTGTTTTTCTCAGATGCAAATCTTAGTGCTATGCTCTCCACAGACCAAGGTCAAAAGACTGTATCTCTACCCTGAGTGCACCTTTTCCTTCCCTTTTATGGGGGTGTTAATTACATAATATTACAACTAGCACCACCTGGAAGGTACAAACAGGCAATATGGCTCCAACACATGCATTATTGTGAGTGGGGTCACCTCTCCTCTCCACAGACGTGGCTTGTAACTGGTGGTGTCGCCTGCTTGTCTCTATGGAGACAGAACACAGCAACATCATGTGACCACTCTGAAAAAGTCTGTTAAAAAAATCTGTTAGAATAAAGATAGTGGACCCTCTGCCAGAAATGTACATTGCCAGTGCACCTTTAACTGCATTTGATTCTCTATTGTCTATTTGTCCTGACATATTTTACTATATGTCACATAAATTCACCTTATATAATCTTGTTTTTAAAGATGCTCACCATGTTTTATTAATATTTGTGATTTTTCAGATTGAGAGCAAATTAACTCAGGAAAATCTTGATGAGTGGACCAATCCTGCTACCATGGAGTTCATAGATGTACATGTCCACATCCCAAAATTCAAAATGGAGGAAGACTATGAGCTGAATGAGCCACTTGGCAAAATGGGCATGACAGATGTTTTCTGCTCTGCCAAGGCTGACCTGTCTGGTATGAATGGTGAAGGTGGACTCTTTCTGTCTACAGTGGCTCATAAGGCATTTGTGGAGGTGAATGAGGAAGGCACAGAGGCGGCAGCAGCTACAGCCGGGATCGCAACTTTCTGTATGTTCAGGGAGGAGCATGTCACAGCGGACCACCCATTCCTCTTCCTCATCAAACACAAGGCCACCAACTCTATTGTGTTCCTGGGAAGGTTCATGACTCCTCAGTAGATGTCACTAGATATCACATGTTAAAACCATAGACTGTATATATAAAAGGACATAGCTAACCTGCTAGCTGCTGCGTTAAAAATAGGAAGGGAACATGGGGGCGCATCTGGCTTCATAGGCTCCAACTGACTTATTGAAAAATAGTCACCCACTCAGATACAGCAAGCCTTGTCATTTTGGTCCTAAAATGTTCACCTTAAGCCACTCAACATTTTTTTATTTTTTTGCTATATTTGTCATAAATAAATTCCTATTCCTATGGAACGCAACTTCAAATTTGCCCCTATAACTGCTGGTCTTGTGAGCTTCATTTGACTGGAGCCGAACACTATATCCGGTGTTCTTTACACAGTCTATGGTTAAAACTAACCTTTCAAATGCAAATGAATACAAATAAATTATGCACTTACTTAAAATTGTAAGTTGTTTTTAATCATAGTATTCTGAATTGAAAATGACACCCAACAGCCTTCAATGAAATGACGGTATTTGATTTAAAATAATACTTGTCGCCTATATTTTCTTTTTACATGAAGTCACTGCTCTAGTGCCCTTACATACCTGTGACGTAGGTTGACTTTGAGAGGTTTGGAGTTCAGTAAGCAAGGTTAAAGGTGCACAGTGTAACTTTTTGCTGGTAGAGGGTCATCCAGATCTGTGCGTGGTAACCCTGCTCACAGCCTGTTTTTCTAGGTATCATTGATATTGTAAGATAAACCTGTTTAATGCAATACTGGAAGAGTTGAAGCAGAGCAATGACATATCAATAGAAACAAGAAGTTGACGGACCCCTAACCAAAATGTTACGTAGTGCACCTTTGAAAACATCGAGAATACAGAGTGATGGATGGAGGTGCATTTTATCTGGTTTGATTGATTGGATAGAAGTAAGCAAGCTAAACAGGGATGGCAAGATTAACACTATCTAAAAAACTAAACTAAATACTCCATAAAACAAACCCCAACTATTTAAAACCCAACTATATATAATAAAACTCTATAACCATACAACAAGTAAACTTTAAAAATCCATAAACAAATAAAACACCTATCCCATAAACCTATCACAAAATCAGTCAAGCATCTTAAACATAGCCTCTGTAACAGGGGAGTCCAACGAATAGACATTTTTTACTGTAAATGTTTCTAATTCTACCACTAATACCTCAATAGCATCACATTGCACTCTGAATTAACTTTGGACATCCCTATGTCCTCAAAGCATCTGCAACATGGATTTCTTCCCAGCCATTAAAAAATCTCTAAAACATAGTCAATGAGACGGGTTCGGTGAGATTAGAGCGGTTTAGTGTGTATTTCTTAACTTGTTTGCGAAACTAGTGTCTTTAAATGGATTTTATTGGAGTCTTTTTAGAGACTTTTATTTTGAAAGTACATACCGGAAGTAAGGCGTGTCTATTTATGAAGTTTGACACCCCGGCTTCTTACACGAACTCAAATCTGCTGCAGGTTGAAGAACTATTTCATATACTGCTGATGTTCATCGCGTCACCCCTATAAAAATGTAAGTACTGTATCCGATATAACTGCGCAATTGTGTGATTTTATGTTGCTGCTAAGTTTGCGAAAGTTAAACAAGCTAGCTCTTCACTGTTTAGATGTCTCCAACCCTAGCTTAGCACTTTGCATTTCGATCTAAAGACAGCATAAATGAGGTACGAGGATTTATTAGTTCTACAGATTGTTTTAACTTTAATGTTACAATTTATGACAAAAGCAAGAAGAAAGCATAAAGAGCTGCTTTTCATTCTTAAAATATGTCTTCACCTGAACCTGAACTTTCTGTAGGTAGGTACACGTATATGATTCAGTGTGACACGTATTAGGTAGTGTGCCTATCCTACCTAACTTTATACTTGGGTATTTAATTTTGATTCCACGTGTATCTCTTAAATAGATGAGCTGTCAGGAGAACAACACCTGTCCAATGAGAGTGTTGGTGACAGGGGGCTCAGGGTTGGTGGGCAGAGCCATTCAGCAAGTAGTGAAAGAAGAGGGGGGAGCCAAAGAAGGAGAAGAGTGGGTTTTTCTCTCCTCCAAGGATGCTAATCTAATGTGAGTAGATAGACACGGTATACACACAATTGTGACTATATGTTTGTAAATGTGTTATGCCATATTTGCAACCAGGAACAAGGAGGAGACCAAAGCAATATTTGAGAAATATAAACCTACTCATGTCATCCATCTGGCTGCTATGGTTGGAGGTCTTTTCAAGAATATGAAGTTTAATCTGGATTTCTGGGTTAGTATTGGTACAACAGAAATTATGTTGCATTATAATTAGGGCTGGGTATCATTAAGAAGTTGCCGATATGATACCTACTTCGATACATGGGCCACAATACGATACATACCTCGATACAGTGCACTTTTAATTCAATACGATATATGACACTATTCAATAAAAAATAATGGCTAAATCATGGCTGTGATACTAAAAGACTAAAACCACATTAACTGCAGCCTTCAAGATTTTATAATTGTGCTATTTTAAATCGATTTGCAATTGCAACATAAGCAGTCATCAAGCATTATCATTTTCATTGACAATGTTAAATGTGTTCCCTTCCAGAGAAACAACATTCACATCAATGACAACGTGCTGCAGGCGGCACATGAAGTTGGTGTAGTGAAAGTGGTGTCTTGCCTTTCAACATGTATTTTCCCAGATAAGACAACCTACCCCATTGACGAGACTATGGTAGGATGCATCATTTTATTGCTCCATAAAAATTGCTGACGTTGTAAAGGAGTATATTAGTTTAGCAACGGATTATGAACTTCTTAACTGGAATCCCAAATGTCAAGATAAGAATAATAAATTAGTTTGTTGTGAGGGAATTACAGGACTAATCATTAATTAAATATCAAGATAATTCACATGTAGCAATGGGAAGAATACTCTGAAAATGTGTTTAGTTACAGAATACTGAATACCTGAATTAAAATGTATTCTGTAACGTATTCCAATAGGGCTGGGTATCATTAAGAAGTTGTCGATACGATACATATCTCGATACAGTGAACTTTCGAATTGATACAATACGATATATTTCAAATCGATCCAATACAGTTCGATAAAAAATAAAGCCTAACTCATGGCTGTCTTTATTAAACCACTTCTTGTGCAAAGTGAATTTGAAACACACCCATTTTAATCATCAAAAAATAAAAGGTCAAATGTGTTGCATAAAAAGTTTCTTTCCTCTAAACAACCAATAAAACTGTAGCAATGTAACAAAATCATTTAGTAAAATATACCAAAAATTATCTTGGCAATATACTGATACAGCAGCCCACGATATCGAAACTGTATCATCACATTAAACGATACAATATGTCAATATTTCAGTATTTTTGCACACCCCTATATTCCAATACACTGGCCAGTCAGAGTACTCTACTTAAAATACTTTAACGTAGATTTGTATTTAAAGTATGGTGTAAAGCACCAACATAATATTAAAAACAGCTTCATATTTGTTTCACTGGTTGTTCTGCATTTCCTCTCACTAACTGGAGAAGAAAAATCACACATGTACATGCTATAAGAGCAATGTTTTCTATTTTGCTCACTGATTATGTGCAGTTCAAAGCCAAAATCATGATCATGTGTTCCTTTGATTTGAGAAAAGTAACTGTTCTGAAAATCACAAAATGAAAAAGTCACTGTACCAGAATAGTTACTCAAAATTAGTATTCAGAATATGTATTCTCTGTACATGTATTCAGTTACTTCCCAACACTGTTTACACGTGGTACTCTAATTTAAAGATTTCATTGTCTTTCTGCAGATCCATAATGGTCCACCCCATGACTCAAACTTTGGCTATGCTTATGCAAAGAGAATGATTGATGTTCATAACAGGTGCAGGAGCCCACTTGTTTGTATTTATTTATATGGGATAGTCAAACACTTTGAACTGTGCCAAGACTTGCCACTCATAATGTATTGATCTTTTCAGAGCATATTTCCAACAGTACAGGCGCTGTTACACTGCTGTGATTCCCACTAATGTTTTTGGTCCTCATGACAACTTCAGTATTGAGGATGGCCATGTGCTACCAGGGCTCATACACAAAGCTTATCTTGCTCAAAGTAAGTTACGGTTACCCAAATATCCAAACCTAGGCATGAGGTTAATTACTTTGCTAACTTTTTCTTAACTTTTTTTTTGTTCTGGTCAGAGGAAGGGAAGCCTTTGGTTGTGTGGGGCTCTGGGGCTCCAAGACGACAGTTTATTTATTCTTTGGATCTGGCTCGTCTTTTCCTATGGGTTTTGAGAGATTATCCAGAAGTAGATCCCATCATTTTATCTGGTAAATCATCATGAATAAGATTCAAAATAAATATAATCAGTGTTGGGAAGGTTACTTTTAAAATGTAATCCCCTACAGATTACAGATTACACACCCCAAAATGTAGTTTGTAACGTAATCCATTAAATTACTTAAAGTGAGTAATGTAATCTGATTACTTTGGATTACTTGATATTGTCATGTTTTTTTAAACGACATGAATGTAGCAACCACATCCTGAAAATTCTTGTTTGTTGTCTTCAAATTGTCTGAGCCCAAGTCTTCATGAATAAGCAACTGTTTGCTGTAGAGAAACAAAGACCACGATATCTTAATATAAGAGGTTTTGTCTGTTAAAAGACAGTAACAAAATCAGCTTTTCCTTCACCATATTAAAAAATATTATTGATAGAGAAATAATTTTTTATATGAGATCACCTTAAATTATGTCAACCTACTGTTAGGTGTCATGTTGTTTAGACCTGGTTTAGTCCTGGTTTAGTCCTGATTTTTAGACCTGTTTAACTCCTGGTTTTAGACCAGGTCTAGACCAGGGGCCTCATTTATAAATCTTGCTTACGCAAAAATCTTGCGTGCGCGCTTCCTACGCCAACCGCGGTATTTATAAAACTCGCCTAAGGCGTGGCTCTTTGCTTAACTCTACGCCAACTCGGGACCTCCTGTAAGTTCTACGCAAAGTCTGGAGACACGGGGAAAAAGCGACACTCGTGGAGAGAAGCAGAAGTGAACAGAGTTTGAGGAAGTGTTTGATCAGAAAATCTACGTATATAGAAGAATTACCTTCAGATTTGCGCATTTAAGTGTTTGGTTCGCCAAAATACGGAGAAGGGCTGTTTATTCCACTCATTATTCTCCACAATATTATACATTTGACACTCGTGCACGAGCGCGGCCACGTTCCCAGACCCGGTGTAGCGCAGAGTCCCATAGTCCACACCGCGACCATAGACTCCTATAGAACACAGACTGTGACCTACACAGAGGATGAAATAATGACCCAACCTGAGAGAAAACTCTTCCCTTGGACGCAGCAGGAGCCAGGCTTTGATTTAATGAACGCAACTTTAACACTTCTACTTTAGTCTTTACGCACTGAGCGGCAGAGTGACCCGAGTCTGCGCACGACACGAAGCCTACTGCCCAAACCTGACCCCAACCAAAATCTTTCCTACATTTTTGTGTAATGGGGAACTCTTGTACATGAGAGCTGCTCTCTGACTGTATGAAGAACAGAATAATGCCCGTGCCCGTCCCGACCCAGACCCACACTCACAGACCCAGACCCACACTCACAGGTTCAGCAGTTTGGATGTTTCGTGTGGACTTTAATTGGCAGAATAACATCTGTATCTGATGTGTTTCATGCTAAATCTGTGTCCTCGTGTCCCTCCCGCGCTCCTTTCCCTCTCCAGGGGAGGGCATCTGAATCTCTCGCAGGCGCTCATAATTTGACCATTCAGATCAGCGCGTGCACGTATCTACGTGTATATGCATAAATACAGGGCCAGTCCTCACACACTTCATAGACAGACTTTAAAAAAATAGCGATAAAACTCTTGAAACAGCGAAAAAACACATGGGCTTTACTGCAAAGATATGCTGTCTAAATATTATAAAATATGATTAAATGAACAGATGAATCATTTTTGTCACTTTTAGTTTTGTATTTTTATTAAACAAGGTTTAATAAAGTCTTTAATAAAGTCTTTGTCGTGATCACGTGGTGCTGCGTGGAGCGTCCTCCTCCCTCTGTCCCGCGTGTCTCGGTCAAACCCACTGATTATCGGCTCATGTTTAGGGAAATCTCATTCACCAGTCACTTTACATGCTCCTTTTATGGTGAGGTGGAGGTGTGGAGAGGGCGTGACGTGACGTAGGTTTACGTGCGCAAATTGTAGTTGCAGGTGGGATTTATAAAGCAAAGATTGCGTGGTTTGGTGCGTGCGGTGGGTTTTCTAAATATGGAGTTTGCGTGGCGCACGCCTTGTCGTAGCTACTAGGCGTACGCACTAACTTACGACAACTCCTGCGCAGTTTTATAAATGAGGCCCCAGGTGTTTAGTTCTGGTTTAGTCGTGGTTTAGTCCTAGTTTAAACCTGGTTCAGTCCTGCTTTAGTCCTGGTTTAGTCCTGGATTAGTCCTGGTTTAGTCCTGGTGTTAGTTCTGGTATAGAGGCGCACAGGAGGAAGCTCGGTTTACGCGAGAAAACACAGTCCACACGCGGCGCACGAGACGGCGGTGTCCGCGCAGTAACTACGGAAGGAGACGTGGTCCGCGGGTTCTCAGGTTGATGACGATGATGAAGGTGTGTGTGTGTGTTTGTGTGCGCGTCCACTCATGTCGCAGGTCACTATAGGACAGTAGTGCAGATATTATGAGTCTATGCAGGTTGTTTTCACCAGTGCCAGTAGCTCCTGTTTCACATTTCAGTTGTAGGCGATTTTATATTTGTTTTTTTTATATATATCTCACATCGGGAGAAGAATTTCCAAGACACAAATGCGTTTTTACCAATGCACTGCTGCTTCCACTGTGTGACTGACACCGCCAACTTTAAGGTGACGTTTACATCGGTCTTATTGCGCGCGTTCTGTTTGGGTTTCCGGCAATGAGTGAAATTACCGAAATAAAAAAATTAATAAATGCGAGGTAGCACAAAATGTGAAAACAGGAAAATACCGCCTTGTAATCCACTTATTTCAGCAAAGTAACTGTAATCCAATTACCACTCATTGAAACAGTAACTGTAACGGAATACAGTTACTCATAATTTGTACTCTGATTACGTAACGGCGTTACATGTAATCCGTTACTCCCCAACACTGAATATAATATAGTACATTGTTTGTAAAACTGAGATGTATATTTTAATATCTTTCAGTTGGTGAGGAAGATGAAGTTTCCATCAAAGAAGCAGCAGAAGCAGTTGTGCAGTCTCTTAATTTTAAAGGTGAAGTGGTGGTATCCTTTTTGTATTGTGCAATTCTTAAATTATAAATTGTCATGATACATGTGCATGTTTGGCTCTTTTCACTATAACATTTACCTTAATCCTGTGACTTCAGTATGACACTAGCAAAGCTGATGGACAGTTTAAAAAGACAGCCAGCAATGCAAAGCTTTGCAGTTACTTGCCAAATTTCAAGTTTACTCCATTTAATCAAGGTACCATTCCTCTACAGGTTCTATTTATCTGTTTTTTTTTTTCCTTCAAGTGACTAAGTTCTTATGTCTTTGTTTCACAGCTTTGAAGGAAACCTGTGATTGGTTTGTGAAAAACTATGACACAGCTCGCAAATAAAATCTTTATTTGGAGCACATGGGGTGTTTTCAGACGATTATAGCTGGAGGAGCAGTTACTGACTGGAGTGAATTTTGCAGTCTCAAACTTTGCTACATATTTCTGTGCTGATGATTTATAATGAACATGGTATGGATCATAGTTGTTACAATGCCATTTTACTTATGTCATGGTGGAAGAAACAAAATTGATAGTTTTCTCTGGGGTATTAGTTACAGCAGTTTGTTTAATTTTGAAGTAAGCTTTAGCCTTTGTACTGAAAGTCCATTTATACTTAAATTTTTGTATAATGATTACAGACCAAAATAAATATTTTCTATAAATTTTAAGTTGTGTTTAAAATTGGAATTCTCAAACACTGAAATTCAGGGCTCAAATAATTTATTAAAATATAATGTACAACAAAACACGCATAAAAAAATGGAAATAGTTAAAACAATAGTGATTGTAATAGATTACATACATTATTATGTTCATCAGTGCTGCTCAAAGACATTTAAGTCTTAATTTACATACGAGGAGTGTCCTCCCTCATGAACTCTACAGTACTCATGTCCTGGTACAGCCCTCTTCTTACAGGCTTTTCCTGTTTTGGTGATGCCACTGCAGAGGAGACGTCCAGATAGTGAACTGTAAACATATGAATAAATCCATCTTAAATGATTAAAAAAAAGCAAGGAGATATTATAATAGGACCAAGGGACTCACCTGTTGCTGATGAGCGAGGGGTTGGGACTCGCACTTCTGGAGTCATTTCCCAAATCGTGAGAGTCATTCCCATCAAACACACTTCCAAAGTTTCTCAGAGGAACATCATCGATGAGTGCCTAAAATAGCAGAGAATCAGTGTAAAATGGCACACTGTATTAGGCCTGTCATGATAACAAATTTTTAATTATAATATAGACTTTAAACAATGACGCAAAAACAAATTAATGCCACTGACAATACCCCTGAAGCAGGATTAACCACCCAAAATATCCAAAATGTACAATATGATTAAAAAAAAGAAACCTGAAAAACTTAAAAGGTGCACTGTGTAACTTATGGCAGGGTCCACCACTTGTTGCGATGGAGATATCATCGTTTTTAAAATATGGCATTAAACATCTATCTGGATGTCATTTATAGCTCAAAAATGTCCTAAAAATATGCCTTCTTACTGTGAGCGGGGTTGCCTCTCCGCAGATCTAACCTGTTACCCTGAATTCACACCAGGAGTTGCAGCAGCGCTTAACGTAGGCAGAGCTGCAACGTAAATTTCAAAGTTTCAAGTCACACCAGAGCGTCAGAGACACTCCTGCTACGCAGCCTGCACATCTTCTCACTGTTTTCAGACATCACATTTTGTACTTGCTTTTTATCATTTATTTTATGTTAAAGTGTATTAAGTTAAAATGTGTATTAAGTGTATTATGAATTAAGTGTACAACTGCAACGCATTTGCGTTTAATGAGGTTTAAGTCTATTAACACGCACATTAAACACCTCAGTTTTTTTTTTCTTTAATAAGGTAAAATCACCTATAATTAACATACATTATGAGCATGATTAAAATCTTATGTCCATCCAGGTAACAAGGCCGATACATTTATATGTTGATACAGAGTCCTGCACTGAAGGATATGGGCAAATAGTCGCTGAAACGGGCGAGTTTTAACGTACTGGAATTTTAAGATTGGGTCAGGACTAAACCAGGACTACACCAGAACTATCAAGACTAAACCAGGTCTAAACCAGGACTACACCAGAACTACATCAGGACTAAGGGACTGGAATTTTAAGGGTGGGTCAGGTCAATGCCTGATGTAGTCCTAAACCAGGTCTAATCTTGGAGAGAGAGAGAGAAAGCGAACCCTGAGCCCCGTGGAGCAGGTGTCTGAAAAGAGTTGTATCTCTAATAAGGCATAATCTAAATTATTTATTCACCCCTCTTCACCTCAAATCTTATTGCACAGAAAAATAACTAAATTTTCTACAAGTACAAAATAAAAGTACACACAATAACCCCCCAAAAAAATGATTGTTCCATCTAACATATTGAACAATAAGTATATAGTAATTGTCATGGCAGGCCTACACTGTATTTACAAAAATGCAGTCCTACCACTGAGAGAACAGGTTTCACCAGGGTCCTTGGAGTTGAATGACTATGGAGGGATTCTGCCAGTGTCCTCCTCTGAGAGGGAGACACCACTGAAAGGCCCAGATCACCTAGAGATTAGAGATAGGTTTACTCACATCTGCTTTCTGCTGAGCTGCTTATGTTATCCCAATCTACAAATTAAAAACCTGATATGAAGCTATCTTGATTGAGCAAGTCATGTTTCCCAGAGCACTCATCATTTTCTTCTCTGTCAAGTGAAATCAAACTTATACCACAAGTGCCAATTGCCTCACAGCTGATTAATTTATGAGAAAAGAAAATGAAACTGAATAAGAGTTTATAAATACCTCTCAGGTGTAGATGAGGGTGGGTACGAAGGGGAAGAGGCGACTGGCTTTTGTGGTTCAACTTTTTCACATGGGCCCAGTGGGAGAGGGGCAGTTGGTTTACTGTTTTTATGGAAGCAAGAGCACAGTTGTCCGATACACCAGTAACCTGCATGAAAACAAACACATGTAAGTCACTTCTAAAATAACAACCGGCACATAAATAAAATTTAAATACTCTGCTGGTTTACCAAGAGAAAGTGTGAGAAGCAGAAGGCTGAGACTACAGAGATCCAGTGCTGGCTGCTGGTTCACTTCAGCGATTGCATTCAGGGGCACAGTAAGTAACAGCATGGCTCGAGGGAATCCAGGACAACGAAGAAATGTCAACAGCACACCGCACCAAGGACAAAGTAACCAGTATGAGCCATACATGTCCACATGGCGGTTAAACTCAATCCTGCAAAAGAAGTTATGAATTATGTAATGTATAGTATGTAACTTTCTGGAGGTAACATCCAGGCCCGTCGACAGAAATTTGGGGACCTGGGGCAAGAAACCTCACACGGGCCCCCTCCAATATAAATGAATAGGAATTAATAGGAAGAAGGTTCAATTGAGGCTCCCAGGACAACAGACACCTTTGTCCCTAGCACATGACCTACACAATTCCATGGAAACTGGGGAAAAAAAAAAAAAAAACATACTTCGGAACATTATCCATGGCATAGACTTTCAGTGCAATGAACATGATCAAAATGAAAGTATAATTTTATACAAGTATAAAAGTATCTAATGAAGACCATATCAAGCTCTGTATTAGAATTGTATTGAATAGGGAATACATTTTTGTGATTTTAATCGATCGATTCCAGTCTTTATTTCTCTGATAGAACACGCTAACACTAGGTACTAGATATGTATATTATACTAGGTATTTTGGGGTAAAAGATTACATAATTTAAACAGAAGTACTCACCTGCCCATCCAAGGTAGCTTTGAATCAGTTGAAGCTGGCCCTCTATCCTGCCCTGCATGTTATCCAGATAGTGCAGAACAAAGCCAAGTGTGCTGTTCATTCGCTCCAGTTTAGTCATTAGATCAGAGTAGTACTGGGAGGTTTTATCCTGATACTGCAGAAACTCCACCATACTGGCATCTGCTTGTTGGAAAGACATTCAGCGTTTGTAAACACAGGTTGAGAACTAAGTTCAATTCTGCAATCTTGTTCAATGACCTATTTTATGATAAATGTCCTGAGCTTGATGCCTGACATCTGCAAGGTCTTTCACTATAGTATGGTGGCCATCTTGCACCTCAGAGCTTTGAATCTGAAGATGCTCACTGACATTTTCTAAAAGGAACAAAAACACAACCTCTAGATTCATATTCACACTGACCAAAATTACTTGTCTGCATAAAAACTAAAAAAAACTGCATAGCTACTTGCCCATTCTCTGTGTGATTCCTTGGATGAGCTGTGCTACAAGCTCCTGTCCTGAGGCAATTAGGGCCTTTTCCTGTCCCAGACGCTCCAGGTTGTCTTTCAGTGATGTCTCCATTTGTTCTTGTTCTTCATAAAGTTTGGTCTGCTGAGCCTGAAGAGCACTATGGCCTTCAAGAACTTTGTCCAAGGATGCTGCAGTCATCTGCTTTAGCTCGAGCTGGCCCTCCTGTCATGGTTATAATTTATATTAGGTCACAGTAGGGCTATAGTTGACTAAAAAGGGGGGCATAGCAAACCATCTCAAAACTACAATATTATACATGTCTCTATGGATCAGGCCCAGAACTGCAGACACAAACAAAAATTACAATTTAAGTACTAGGAAACAATATATGTATGTAAAGAGAGATTAAACTTGTGAATCATGAGTTGAATCTGCCTACATACCAAAAAACAAAATCTTCAGCCAACTCACTCATCAACTTCTTTCTCCTCCCTTCTCTTGTCCCATATAAATTCTTCTAATCCAAATAAAATTATTTGTCTACTACTTTGACCGACTAAGACACCATTGACCAATTAATCAACTAATTTTTATGCATTTACTGTGGACCTTAGAACTTTTAATATGTAAATGTACCTTCAGATCTTTCATTGCATCGAGTTGGCTGGTTGCTGTGGTGATGAGGGCGTTCACGGTGTGTTCTGCCCTGCGTCGGAAGAGCATCTGTCGAGTGGCATAGCACACAGACCGGGCTCTGTTGCTTACAATATGGTAAGCATTCCATGTGTCAGGGTCCATAGACGCTGTGCATTCTTTTATGGTCTAAAAGTACAGAAAAAAGTATCTCAAACTATCCTTACATACCAGGCCCGGTTGCAGACCAAACTGACTGGGTGTGCATTTGAGTTTCAAAGGGGTACTTCCATAAGTAGCATTATTTTAGGCACCTGAATGAAGGTGAATATATTTCCACTTAATACTGAAAGGGTCTTACCATCTCCTCTGTACAAGGGTAAGTCCTGCGACCTTCAATCTCTGCCTGACAGTTAAATAGGACTACCCCAAGTTTAGCCAGCTGTTCTTCAGACAGGCTTTCACAGCTGGACTTCAGACGAGCAACAACCTGTGGAGAAGTGCATAAAGGTTATATTTTTGATTGATACTTCACAGCTGATGTCATCAACATCCGCTGGGAGTATGATGCTAACTATAGACTCTGCTCTGTCTGAGGCTTTATTAGTTAGTTGGAACTACAACAGGTGAGCCGATCTGTGCAATTAAACATGGGTCTCACACATAAAATTACAGTCACAAGCTAGACAGCATAGCAAAGAGTTTTTCATTAGTCACCCTCACCACTGATTGAAAATCTATCTCCTAAACAGGTTGATCACAGGCTCCTAAAAATGTGCTGTTTAAATTCATTTGGATATTTTTTTCTTGAGTTTTCAGACAATCTTAAAACTTTGAGTGCTTGCTAAAGTGTACATTGTGTCACCATGGTAACATAGATGAATATACATGTACAACACCCCCAGCATGATGTCACTGCAAAGAATAAATATACATCCGGCATTAGGCAAATATTCACATGAATCTTACCCTGTGATGGCAGCTATCCAATGGACTCAGTTGCAATTGCTTAGCCTCTGCCAAAAACTTTTCATCTACTATAGCCATTTCAAACTGCGCATCTTTGGCCAGAAGCTCAGGAGCGACATGAGCAGATGAGGAGGCTGCAGGCTGCGATGCTGGGGGAGACTCAGCTCTTCTCAACCATTCAAACAAACCACACACGACAGGACAGTGGCAAATCAAAAGTGCAAAAACGAAGCCATTGTGAGTTAGGAGACGAGCCATGTCTGAAGAAGAAAATATAAGTTAAATATATAGGCTTTCTCTGCAAAAAATTTCAGAAAAGCGCAAAAACTCCTCCAGTGTATGTGAATATTGTCAAAGGCTTTGCCCAGACATGCCTGCTGCAGCCACTCAAGACCCTCCTCCTCTACTCACCAAATTATTTAGACTATTATTTACCAATATTTTAACAATGGTAAAAAAGAAAAAAAGTTTGATGAAAGATACATGCAATAGGTCTAAATGTAAACGGTTAATATAAAATTTCTAAATGTACCTGTTGGCTACATAATGTTGAGCCTTGATATAAAATAAATGATGCGAATTTGTGTCAGATTTGATTTGTAAATGTCTTTCTGTCACTGTAATCCTGATTACCTGATTCTGTGTGGATGCGTGAGCCCCGTGCCCGGTCCAGCCACCCCACTCACGCGTCTGAAAGAAATTACTCATTATTTTGGCCAATCATCATCGAGTCCGCTCAGCCAATGAAGGAGTCACAGTTCATCAAAAGAAGAAGAGATGCTGCTGTGTTTGGGTTTCTTACTTTGAGCAAAATGGGAATATTTCACTGTGAGGCTATTTGATGTCACTTCACATAATACAAAAGTAGTCCCACACACAAACATTTCCAGTGTGCCATTGCATCGGCATTACGGTACAGCTGTGGAGCATCTCTAATTAACAAAATTTGGCCGGAGAATCAGTCTACAAGATATGTTACATTGACAAAAAGAGGTTCGGCTACTGTGTGAATTGGTTTATTTGCTATATGTTATGGAAACGTAACATCGTGAAATACTTTAGCCAGCTGATACCGTAAAAACCCGAGTAGTAAATTGGTTTGACCAATGACATGTGGACCCTTCCGTATCCTGTGACATAAGCAGCTGAGTGGAGAAAAACAGACGATTTTGGCTTGAAATAAAGAACAAACCTCGCAACGCAAACAGGTACCACAACCGCTCCGCTGTGAATGAGGCACCGCAGCGGGGATCCAGGCGACACTCCGTGTATTATGATTTCCCAGTCAACAGCAAACACGTGCTATGCATTTGTGGTTTTATTTAATCTGGGATTACTAGCAAAGTAAACGCATGTTACACCTAGTTCCGTTCCCGAAATGTTTACAGTGAGCTTGTGACATTAACGTTTACAAGCGAAAGCTGATTCTGGACATGTTGGCGACTGCTACAATGCTAGCCATTTGTTAGCTAGCTTAATCCAGACTGATTCAAGGCTCCACAGCATCTGTGCTTTACAGTAAACAGTCATCGCCACCACAACAATGGAGTACGCTGTAATGAAGAAGCAACACTACTGGGATGTAGAGGAAACGGAGATCTTTTTGCAAATCCTAAAAGAGTTGGACATTAAAGCGTGCTTGGACGGTAGGAAAGTGAGGAACGGTGGAGTGTTTAGGATGGCCCAGAGGAGAATGGCAGCAGCTGGCTTTGACAGGACGGCGGAGCAGTTGAGGGTTCGCTGGAAATTTCTGAAAAAATGCTATTACAAGTCTCAGCAGGATCCCAGCAATGAAGCCAAAATCCAGGGTTGGTTGCGCTATGAAAAGGCAATGGTCTCTATTTTGGAGTCCAAACAATCTATGGTCAACTCCAGTGTGAACTGCGAAGGCAATGATGATATGGTTGAGGACTCTGATGGAGATCACGATGGAGACTCCTCAATGCTGCCCATGCCAGACGCCTTTACGCAGCCCCTTCAGGACAGTTCAACACTGAACCTGGAATTAATTGTAGGAATGACACTGCCCATTTTCTGAGTTCATTATCTGAACCGTCCACATTTACAGAGATCATAATTATGTTGATTCATGTTTAGCCATCACCTTGTTTCAGTGGAGATGTTGCTGTTTTGCCTGGAATGTTTCACAGTATGGCACAACTAAAATAAGCACGTGAAGCCATTTCTATGGGTGAAACCAACAGTCAGGTCAGATCTGTGGAGTGGTGATCTCACTCACAGTAAGAATACATGTTCTTCAATGCAACAAGAAAAAAAACCCAGTTACTGAATAACTGAAGTAGATTTAATACAACACTGTGGAACATTCTGAACAATATCTCCATGGAGAAGAGCAGGTGGTGGCACACCACTATTAATATAGATAAGTTATATAAATATATCACAAGTGAACCTGGGCTGCCAATGCTTTTACTGTTTTGTTATGAATCATCAGCATTACTGTTAACTGTTATCAATAAGAGCTACAGTATATTTGATTTGAACATGTCTGCCTTGTATCTGAGGGCACAGGTGATGTTCATGGAGCCATTGTCTTGGCTGATTTAGATTTAAACCTTCTATTTAGTAATTTGACATTAGAACTTTGGAACATTTGAGCAGGAGAGTAAGCTATGTCAAAATTGTATGTATTAAATATTTTCCCCTCACCCACAGATTAAAATGGACCCTGAAGCAGACTCTCATCTAAGGATTGGTTTCATTGGGGCAGGAAACATGGCTTTTGGCATTGCAAAGGGTATCATATCAGGTAAGCAGAATATTAAACAGTTTCTGAAAAATATTAATAATATACAATTAAACCTGTGTAACAAAAAAATATTTGTTTAGGAAATGTTTTGCCAGCCAACATTAAAGTCAGTGCACCATCCAAGAGAAACTTTGGACGCTTTCAGGTTAATTATGCTGTTTTTGTAAAGTTAACTCAAAATTACAACATTAATGAGTATATGAACATGAATATGCCAAGTTAATATAATTGTGGAATGACTTACTTTTGTTGCTATGTTTTTGCTTGACAGGAAATTGGAATTACTGGCACAAATTCTAATGTGGAGCTGGTGTGTGGTTCTGATATTGTTTTCGTGGCAGTTAAACCTCACTTGGTTCGTGACGTTCTTAATGGAATCTCTGCATATATCACAGACAGACACATAGTTGTATCTGTTGCAGCTGGAGTAACACTAGAAACACTGCAAGAGGTACATTGTCGAAAATGGTCAAAAATGTGACAATATTATGTGTTTTGTTTTTTGTAAATGAATCAATTTGCTTTCTTGCAGCTTTTGCCTGAAAACACATCGGTCATTCGTATGATGCCAAACCTCCCATGCATTGTACAGGAAGGGGCTTTGCTCTTCACTCGAGGGTCTTGTGCTAAACCGGCCGATGGAGTACTTCTCCGCTCCCTGTTGCAGCATTGTGGTTTGGTGGAGGAGGGACCAGAGGCATGGATCGACATCCACACAGGACTCAGTGGGAGCGGAGTGGCCTTTGTGAGTGCACGATTAGTTCAACCATCAAAGTTAAACTGTTACAAAATAACAACAAAATGCATGCTCTCTTATGGTAATGACAGTTTTTGATTACCTTTTTAGTTGTTTTGTTTGTCACAATAATTACTATATATACTTACTGTTAAAAAGATATTATCATAGGTACATTTTTTGGCATTAGTTTTTGTTTTTTCTTTTGAAGACGGATTTAATCTTTTTTTGAATGTGCTTTTGATTTGACTATTTTCTGCAGGTATATCTGTTTGCCGAAGCTCTAGCTGAAGGAGCCATTAAAATGGGAATGCCAAGTTCCCTGGCCCACATGATCGCCTCACAAACAGTTCTGGTGAGTTTTAACAACAGTTACATTTGAATTGGCAAAACTGTAGAAAATAATAAAACTCTTACATCTTACAGGGGGCAGGGCGGGTGTTGCGAGAGTCAGGAAAGCATCCGGCACAGCTACGTTCAGAGGTTTGCACACCTGGAGGAACCACTATTTACGGCCTGCACACTCTAGAGCAAGGTGGTGTAAGGGCTTCGACAATGAGTGCTGTGGAGTCTGCGACTGAAAGAGCCAGGCAGCTGGGCCAAAAGTCCACAGCCAGGAAGTGATTGCTGTCATTTGTAATAATGTCATATTTATCATTAATCTCATATGCTGTGTAAAGACTGTTTTAAGACTTATATCACAAAAACTGGTCAGTTCCTTGTTCCAACTCATTTTGGGTCACATGTATTTATGTTATGGAAATTGCAGCTCTCTTGACTGTTGCCTTACAGATCTGCCTTGTTAGACTTGGGGAAAGTAGTGATTCTTTTTCAGTGTTAAAAGATGATGCCTGTGATGTAGAGATGCATTCCGTTTACTGCATATGTCTTAAAACTAAGCCAAGAATCATATGTGAAATAAGTTAGTTCTTTAATTACATAGTTTTACTTTTATTTAAAGGTGCACTACGTAACTTTCTGGTGGAAGGTCCAACATGTACCGGTCTCCTTGGAGATTTCCTCAAGAGAATGCCATTAAAAGGTGCTATGTGTAGTTCTCCCTTTAGTTTTCTATCTATCATCTCCATGCAAGTTTCCATACATGTTTGTACAATGAAGGAAATATCTGGGTTGGTCACTTATTTTGATCAAGATGGGAAAATAAGAGTCAAATGAGCAGCTTCATACTTGATAGGATTGATGGCTTAGATTTTAAATAAAATATCCCCAAAACAAAACGTTGGTGGGCCTCTGTTTACAGTTTTAAATACGGCTTTTACATGAATATTGTGACGTGTACAACCACAATAAAAAGTGATTTGATTTAGCTCCTCCGCTCTTTCCTCTCCCCTCCCTCTTTCTCTCTTCTTCCCGTTGTCACTTCACTGTCGGCAGAAGAAACACGCGTCTATCCACCGGCCTGGACACACCGACACAAAAATCAGCTGTAAGTAATGATGATCTAGCCTGGCACAGATGACTGAAGTGTTGATAATACCCTCTCAAAAAACCCATGAAACGTTGTGTGGAAAATTATTTGTTATTGGCGCAAATCCCTGTGACGCCGACTGTATTAGCCCATGATGCTAAAGGCTAGTTCATTTAGCCGGCTGCTAAGGCTACATGAGGTTACAGCACTGCCTCCGGGAAGGCTCAGATTGTCTTGGATTTCACATGTAATGCCATACTGTTAATTTAGTTACAATCTCAGGTTTCTAGAGCTTTTTCCATCAGTAACTCACCACATTCTAGGGTGATGTCTTGTGTGACTGTCCCCAGTAGCTTAGTCGTGACAGTAAGGACCTTGAGCATGATGTGAAAGCTGTCTCTTTTAGGAGGAGTCACATATTTTTAATAAGGCATTATTTTCACCTCTTCTGAATTGTGTTTTTAATAACAAATGTATATGATGAGGTTGAAAAATTAAAAACCCTTTCTTACAAATGTATAGCCAAGGTTTGAAATTTCCCAACATTTACTGACATGTCCAAAGTCCAGCCCCATTGTCTCTTGTATAGCTTTATAAAATTGTGTTACAGATCAAAGCGGTTTTATACTTTTGTTCAGATTCTGTAGTTAATTGTTGATGAATATCTTTTCAATGGAATAATTCTATCAATTTATATTATTTTACTGTCTTCAAACAAATCCATACAATTATGTAGACATAGTGTATATGTTGCAAAATGCTTGTGTGTAATTGTTGGTAATTTTATATAGTGTAGGTTTCTGCCTGTGTTTTATGTAATAATGTGGAGAATTTGATTCAGCACCAGAAGAGTGGAAACTGTGAACTGTGAAGTGTTTCATGCTTTCCTCTCCTTTGCTCCGCTTTACAAAAGTTGTGGAGTGGACCACACCTTTAAGCTCAACAGCAGGCCAAGGTGAGTTAAATATTTGTGCATGCTAATTATTTTTTACATCTTTGTTCTGTTGGATATTTCTAAAGATTTCTGCCAGGTTGGTGCTCTAACATTATTTTACACAATCTTTCACACTGCATACATCTTGCAGCATTGAATTTTAAAGTAATGCTAATTTAGTTTTGATGAGCCACAACTAAAATATTCATGTTTATTTGAAATGATTGTAATAAAACAATATGAACTAACCTGGAAGCAAATTTGGTGTTTTGTGAACATAAATGCTCCATATCCATGTTCAGTCCAGCATGACTTCATTCCAAGAATTGTTCTCGGAATAAAGAGCAGTGTGGTTGAACCATTTTTACAAAAATTTTGAACTGAAAAGGGCATTGTAAAAAAACATGCTACTCTCAATGTTGTAGAGCTTTTTACATTAATCATTGTGTTTATATTCATATATCTGATAAGCATTTATATCTTAGTTAGTTAGTGATAGTGAGTAAAGTCGGAACTATGACTTAAGTAATTTTCTGTTTCAACCTATAGATCAGTGACGATGTCCCAGAAGATGAGTAACTCCTCTGCGGTGGATCAGTCCGAGCTCGAGGATGCTCCCTGCTTTGCTCAGTCGGGAAAGGGAGGTCGTAGCAAGTCCAGCTCAGAACAAAGAAATGAAGAGACCTCATCCTCTCCTGAAAGCCTAAACAGTGATGGGAACGGCAGCTCAAAAACCCGCAGACGAAGAAAACGCACTTCCAACGCTGAAAGTGGCCCTGTGGTTAAAGTCAATAAAACAAAAAATGAGGTTGAAACCCAGTGCGGCCAGAGTCCCCACTCCTGTGCAGGTTTGGCTGAACTGCAGTCAGAATGTACTAATATCTGGTTTGAACGGAGCATGTATGAAAGAGCCGAAAGCCGGTATCAATGTTGGTTGGCTAGCTCCTCTGTTGCTACTTTGCCTTCCTCTTCTGTTTTAAATAAAATTCCTCCTCCCACTACTTCAAATGTGGCTCCCATTACTACTGCTACTACTGCTACATGCCACCACAGTGATCAGGTTGCTTGTCATCATATAGTGCAGTCAGTCTGGGTCAACAAAAATGCCTTTGATCAAGCCGAACGCCATTTTGTTGAAACCATGCAACCTTCAATACCAAATTCTCTCAACATCCCTTCTCCACCTGATCGCATTGTGTCACCCAGAACACCCGATGAAGGATACCAGTCTCTTGCCCCAACTCCAGCTACTCCTATTATCCCTGTTGACGTGGTAATGCCAACACGACAGCCAATCAATGGACTTCCACGGATCCCAATGGAACTACTGCGAGATGTATGGCTGGAGAAACCGCAGTATGATCGTGCTGAAGCTGCTTTCTATCAAAACCAATGCAATAACAATTCGACCAAGAGATCCACCTGCCCCTCCACTAGTAGAGGCAGTGAACACCCCCAGAGTCTTGTGGAGGAGGAGGAAGAGGAGGAGGAAGAGGAGCTGGCTGTGGTTGAAGAAAAGCGAGTGGTTTCTCAGTGTAAAGCAGAGGTCTTCCACGCACTACACCCCATTCAAGAGGAAGAGGAGCCTGCTGATGTTTCAGACAAAGAGGAGAGTCAAGTATCAGGAGTCTGTTACTTCCTGCACCCCGACAATGAGAGACTATGGTTAGACAAGTGTCGATTTGATGCTGCTGAGACACGGTTTTACAGTATCCATAAAGAGGAAGCCAAAGCGATGAAGAGGAGCATCAGACCAGATATCGATGCTTCACCTGTCACCTCTACTACCCTGCAGGGGGAAAAGTATGGCAAAAGAAAATGGAGCTGGTCTTGCTATTTTTTCCATTTTCATTGCATATTCAAAATTATTTGTAAGTTACATGTTTTGTTTTGTTTTTATTTATATTCACATTACAAAATTATTGTTTGGAAAGACCGTTATTTTTGTCATGATTTTTAAATATATGTTTATTTTTTATGTGGTCTCTTCATTGTTCATTCCTATTTCCAAGTACTTTCCAAGCATTTTTTGTGCCTCATGCAGCCTTCCATAACCTTATTCAAACAGCATTTTGACCTTGATTTTTCAGATATTTTAATTTGTTACTGTTCTCATTTCAGAACCATGAGTGCTCCGGATTTTCTGGCTAAAGAGAAGATCTGGTTTGATAAACCACGCTATGATGAAGCCGAGAGGCGTTTCTATGAACGGATGAGTGGCACCTCAAGCACATCTCAAAGCACAGGAGTAAGTAGGGCTATACACTGGTGTTTTTGTCAGCTGTACTGTATGAACTAGAATGAAATTGAGCTGCACTTTGCACATATCAGTAACACTAGATTATAGGAACCACATATAAATTCCTAAATAATAGTAAAAGGATAATAAATGCTTAACAATTACGTCTGTTTGGGGTAAAGAAATATGTATCTATTCTTCTCATTAATAGTCTGTTTATCAGAATTGTTAGCATTTGTACATACATCTATAAGCCAATATTAAAAAGCATAAGCAAATTTTATAAATAGTAACTAATAGCTGAATAACTAATAAGTAGCATACCAATTACCACTTAGTTAGGAATTAAAATGTGGTCTAAAACTAAAGTGTTACCAAAATATCAACTGCAGTGGCTGCCATGCACATTATACAATATTCATACAATAACACACAATAAATAATAAAGATAACTGTTCAATATTTTTTTTTTTTTTAAAGGATCTTGGAGCCAACTCTATTCTTAAAGACATTGCCAGAGCCAGAGAAAACATCCAGAAGTCCTTAGCCGGAGTAAGTATTTTATGGTAATACTACTTTTCTTTGTGTTGGGTGAAGATTCATGAACTGTTGAACAATATAATAATACAAAGTAACTATCTAAGAAAAAGCTATTTAAAAAACAATCTATCCCCAGCGGCCACATGTAGTTTTTGTGTGTGCCATATTTGTAGTTTGGTCCTCAAGTATCCTGTTTCTTTTGCCCCCTCCTATTACTGTAACCCCCCCCTCCCCCAGATGAAGAACGCACTGAGTCAGCCTTCCCTGAACCATGAACAGTCACAGCTTGTAAGTGCTGTTCCACGGTTTGACCTAGCAGTAGTAGTTTTTAACCATGCTGATGTCACTACCAGCATGCTGAACTGAATTCATTTTGAAATGAATTAATAACTCAATATTTAACCATGTATTGGGTCATTCTGCTCTTGACAAGCATTTTCTGTGTGTACACATATATTAAACCTAATAAATGTAAAATAAAAACTTATCATTTTAATAAATGCTAACACACTTAAACGCTTTTTTCCCACAGAGTACAAGCACCAGCAGCAATAACGCAACAGATCAGAGTGAAATTATCTCACGCATCAAAAATCTGGAGCATGAGAACCAGAGCCTACACAAAGGTAAGCCTGTTGGTTGAGTTTTAGCTTATTAAAATGCAGTGCGTTCTCAAAGGTCCTATGTGTTATAATGTTGTTAACTCATCAAAAACATACCTAGAGTTGTGTTCTGTTTTATTCACACATGTTTGAGCAATACTTTATTGGTCTGTCTACATCTCCAAGCTCAAAATGCTGTTACACCTTGAGATGTCATGTAGTGGCATGTTTACAGCTACACTTTACCTTTTGTTCAGTAGAGATTGGCAATTCCTGGTCTGAAATCATCCAAATTGTTCCTGCAAAGGTGTTTGGAGTGTAAAAACCTAAATATAAATAGAAAAAACAAAAATTATAAATAAATAAAAATAAATCTGCCTGCATGCAGATTTATTAAACATGTGTGAATGAAACATAACACAACCCCAGGTATGTTTTTGATGAAGAAACAACATTATAACATAGATCAGAAAATTGAGCAATATGAGCCCTTTAAAGTATTGAAACAATTAAATAGTTTGAATAGTTACAATGTTGTGATACTTTACCAGTGGTGGAAGACCTTCGAGCAGCACTTTCTAAACTGGAGAGTCGAGTAGCAGTCCTAGAGAAATCTCCTGCACCTGTCACTTCAGCTCCTACTATCCCTGTCCCTTATACAAATGTAAGTTTAGCTATGCAATTCTGTAATAAAAACTAAATTAACATAAATTATACACTTTTTACATTTTGTTGGGCCATTGTTTAGGGCACTACTTTTGAGCAGAAGAGCAGCGGGGGTAATGAACCAGAAGAAGATGACGATGAAGACCTAGACCTCTTTGGCAGTGATGAAGACGAAGAGGCAGAGCGCATCAAAGAGGAGAGGTTAAAGGAATATGCAGAGAGAAAAGCAAAGAAGCCAGCCCTCATCGCAAAGTCTTCAATCTTACTTGATGTCAAACCTGTAAGTCAGATTTGTGCTTTGTTTCACTGAACTACGGCTGCAATGGTTACTCAAAATAATTGTGTCTAATTGACAATTAAAATAATCACTGACTTTTAATAATCATAAATCAGCACACTCCAAAGTGAATGTCTAATACACTTTATACACAAATATTCTCCATCTTCAATCTGCATATTTTACATTTTTATCTGGTTATAAATGTAGAAAAAATCATTCAAGTACAATAATATTAATCGCTGACTAGTTCACTACTAAATAAATTTTTGTTGCAGACTTTTTCCAGTTCCAGACTTTTTGATCTTACAAGTACTCCTTTTTTCATATTAGCTGATCAAAATTGTCTCTTTGTGTGTTTTAGTGGGATGATGAAACAGACATGACAAAGCTGGAAGAGTGTGTACGCTCGGTGCAAGCCGATGGTTTATTATGGGGTACATCCAAACTAGTTCCTGTTGGCTATGGCATCAAAAAGCTCCAAATTGCTTGTGTGGTGGAAGACGACAAAGTTGGAACAGACTTGCTGGAAGAAGAGATTACCAAATTTGAAGAATACGTAAGTGTTGCAAACCTGTTTAAAGGTGCATTGTGTAACTTTTTGGTGTAGGCTTTACCATCTGCTTGTCTCTATGTATATGTCATTGCTCTGCCTGGAATGTTCCATAGTATGACATTAAACAGATTTACCTTACATTGACACTACAAGTGGTTTACTGCTCAAAAATAGAAAATGAGGCATTCTGACTGTGAGCGGCGTTGCCTCTACACAGATCTGACCTGTAATTTGGTCTGGTTTGATCTCCATAAAGCTAAAAATGTTTAATACCATACTGTGAAACATTCCAGACTAAGCAAGAACATCTCCATTGAGAAAAGCATTTGACAGACCCTCCACCAGAAATGTTACACAGTGCACCTTTTAAATAATAAAATAACTTTTAAAAGTATAATGTTAAATGTATTTTTAAAATGAGCCACATAAATGTGTCCTGTGCATCTAGTAATAATGTGTTTATTGTGTGTTTTTCAGGTCCAGAGTGTTGATGTTGCAGCCTTTAACAAGATCTGAAAAGTGTCTGTTTTCCTTTTTCGTCATGCCTTGTTTCTGTGCTAATCCTGTCAACTGTTCACAAAAATAAAAATCTATTGCACTGTTGAATGAGTTTGGAAAACAAAATTACTTCTTTGTAGTTACTGTTGATACTTGGCAGCTAATGTCATCGGCTTTGTTAGATTTTAATATGATCTTTATTTTAACACAATCTGACCATAAAGAACTGATTTAGTTGGAGCTACACGATGATCTGTGCTGTTAAACAAGTCCCACTGAACACAGTCGCAAGCTAGCTAGCATTAGACAACAGTTCTTCAAACAAACGCACAAACAGGACCATGAATGATCACAGGCTCCTGAAAATGTTTGAATTTTGTGTCTTAATTGGGTTTATCTCAAAAAGTGTTTGCTGTGGTTACTAATGTGTGCATTGTGTCACCATGGTAACTGCTCAACATTCCAGCATACCATACATGCAGAGCACCCCAAGAGTGATGTCACTGCAACATATAATTGTGCTTGGTTTTTCCATTAAGGCTACATTATTACACATTTCATATCCTTTTATTTTGATGACATAACTCTTAACTGCACTGTACAACATTAGGTAAAGAGTAGCACAGTCCATGAACATTTTGGGTTGAAACTGCTAAATCTGTCTACAAAATTTATTTAGATTGCATGCTAATTTGAATCCCAAATTTTACCTCTCCCTTGATTTATAGCCTATTTGAGCACAGGACTACAGCTACTGTTGTTAGATATTTGCATCTTAAAGGAGGAGGTGTCAGCCCAGCCCTCTCAGTCGTAAGCCCATTGACAACGCACATAGCCATTGTGCATAGACTTAACCTTTGCCACCATCTGTCTGCTGCTTGGTACTAAACAAAATCAAGGCTATCTCTTCGTTATTATACTTAAAAGAATCAAACATTGAGCGGAAACTAGGATTGTAGCTTTTTAAATAAATAAAACGTTCTATTTAAATGTATCAAATTAATGAATAAAACGTATTTACCACTGCAGTTCCTGTTTTACTTATACACGTGACCTAGTGTGCGACCAATCACGTTGCAGAGCAGCGCAGCTCGTAATTTTGAACAGACGGAGAACAGAGTGTTGAGTGTCGCCTCTCAGGCACGAAGAAGGACCATTATGTGCAACTGATCCTCACTCTGCTGCATTCTGATAATGTTTTGAGTATATTTTTGGATAAAACGTTTATATTGTAGTGGTGTAGGTGAGCAAAAATGAGTACACACGTTATAACCCCGGGACCTTATCGAGCCACAAAATTGGTAAGTAGCAAAAACACTCCAACTGGTGTAGATTTCAGTTTACAAGCTTCTCAACCAGATGTAAAGTCTAATATTTGTCAGCTGTACTATTGTTCTTTATTTTAATCAACTATGTAGGCTATGAGCTGAGAGCATGTTTTTCAACTTTGTAACTGAATTACAAGTAAAAGGGATTGGCTGCTAGTCATTTTGTCTAGACTGGATTAATGACTTTAACAAGTAAGATTTATTGTCCCATAGTTATTGAAATTTGAGCATCTTTACTTTAAGTTGCATATTATGTTTTGATCAATTAAGTATGTGTGTGTGTGTGTGTGTGTATGTGTGTGTTTGTAGTTCATACCTTGTTCAGTATTAGGCGAAAATTCCCTCTGCTGTACTTTGTTCTCATTCCTTACATTCAGGACATTTTATTATTGATATCCACAGTATAACAGATTTTTTTGTTTTTGTCTTTTATGTGTCTTGACTTAATGATGGTTCTTTGCTTAAACTGTGATTCACTATCTTAATATATCTTACAATCATAAACACAAATATTCTGTTGTACTTTGTTCTCATACCTTGCATATCAGATATCTTATTACTGATATCCATCTCAGCAGACAGTATTGTAGAGTTTTGAACTTTTTTTGTGTTTCCTGATCTAAGTTTTAATAGCGCTTTGGTTAAACCTCACTATTGTCTCCCCTCTGTTTGCACAATCCAGTGGAATGAGGTGACTCGTCTCTTTCGTGCTGGTATGCCACTAAAGAAACACAGGCAGAATTTCAGACATCATACTTCATGCTTCACTGCCAACGCGGCTGTGGACTGGCTTCACCAACTCCTGCGCAACAACAGCAATTTTGGTCCTGATGTAACTCGGCAACAGACTGTACAGCTTTTGAAAAAGTTTCTGAAGAACCACGTGATCGAAGATGTCAAAGGTCGCTGGGGTACAGAGGATTTCGAGGACAACAATGGGCTTTACAGGTTAAAAAAAAAAAAAAAAGATAATCTGGGATGCTTACAATGAAATGTCAGTATGTAGAGTTTAAGTAGATTTTAAAACTGTATGCGTCATTACAGATTCCCTTCAACTTCAACACTCAAGCCAATTCCATGTCCATCACAAGTCCCAGGATCAGCTCCTGGCTCAGTTAAGAAAAAGCATTCATTCAGAGAGAAAGATGGATTCTTCAAGTTTAGAACAATCAGAAAACATGAAAAAGATATACAGACACAGGTAAAACAATATTGCACATCACATCTCACAAATGACTTATTTATTGCATGCTGTGCCATGTTGCAGTTCAGTGTTTCAACTCTTCTTATGGTTTGTATTTCAGGAAAATGCAGACCCTACTCTTCACACAGAAGAGGATGGAGCTGAGCACATGTCACAAAGGCGAGAGCTGACGGTGGAGGATGAACACACGATCTGGAAAGACATCACACTGACCCAGTAAAGATGCATTATAAAATCTCTTCTAAATAAATACATACTGTATTTCGCTATAGGGCTAGGTGATATGGCTAAAAAATAAAATCTCAGCTTTAGTATGGATATCTACCGGCAATTGTAATTGCAGAATAACCCTGCTTTGCAATGAAGAAAGTCAAGAGTAAACTTGTTTCATAATAATCCTAGATTTTATGATTTTGCAATTTTTCTAAATCTTGATTATTCAAATTCAAATTAATTTGAATAATTACCCAGCCTTATGTCGATATATAAGCTCTTTTTATTATTATTATTTTTTATATCCACCAGCTGATGATATGATATATAGATTGAGTATTTTCTATGGTTGTCCTGGAGTGATATTCAGTAGTACTTTGCTTAAACAATGTCTCTTTATTCTGTTTTCTAGTTTACAGAGGATTTTGGGAGTTGCATCACTGGATGAAGTTTTAGATTACCGCTCTGTGAATCCGCAAAACATCATCCATAACATGACCAAAGTCAACAAACATGGAGTGGTTACATTGGATGATAAAACAAGTATGTCTACATAATGTACAATTATTAGAACAAACCCGCATTGTATCTTAATTGTGTCCCTGCATTTTTGTAGATGATCTCCCGCATTGGGTTTTGTCGGCTATGAAAAGCTTGGCTAATTGTAAGTTGTAACCACTCTTACATGTAATAGTACACAAGCTTTTATAGTGAGTAATGTTTTGTTTCTGTTTTTTTTTTTTTTACACAGGGCCGAAGTACGACAGTGCCCAGCCGTCCTATCCAGGCTTTGAGAGGGATGTCTTTAAAACAGTGTCTGACTACTTCTACAGTCTTCCACAGCCATTGCTCACATATGAGTTGTATGAGTTGTTTATCAATGTTTTGGGTAGGTGGACTATTTTCTGTTTTCTAATGAATACTTCTTCCAACTTTGGGATTGCAATTTACGATACAATACTAGCATATTTCTATGTTACTCATAATACCCTTTAGTGTTCTGATTTGTATTTAAAACCCTAACCAAGGTTTTGGTTCCCGTGGATTCCTAACAGAAATGAGTAGCTTTTTGTTCTGTATTTTTTACGTTTGCCTGTTAGTTGTCTGTGCAGCTTTTTGTTTATGACTGTGAAGTTTGCACTAACTCTTCCCTCTCCCTCCCCAACCTTGTCTGCTTGCACTGAAACCCTGCCTGCTGTCCTTCTACCGCTCTCCCTGTTTGCATCCACTATGTGTTTAGTTTTTTGCGGTTATGTTGCGGCGCCCTCGTCTCAGCAACTTGGGAAACGAAAGAAGCCCGACCTCCCCTCTGTGCCCCCACCGGCCAAGGCATCGTTTCGGTCGACAGAGTGTCTGCTCCTGTCACTGCTTCGGCAGGGAGGCTGTGATGAGACAGAGTCCCCAATGAGAGAGGTGCTTGGGGTTCAGCTGCAGAACAGAGGTCTCGGTGATGCTCTGTTAGGGGGAAGCTGCATGAATCTGAGCACCACAACTTTTGTAAGACCCAGAACCCGGAGCTGCTCCTTGGAGACCATTTTAGATGACTCTCTGAGTCAGAAAAAACTTTTTCAATCTAGTGACTGTCTGGAATTGTCTGCCTCAAACAAGAGTGAAAGTTCCTGCCTTACAACACCCAGTAGTAGTTCAGACTTTACATGCAACTCTACCCCTAGTACCTCAGGGTGTGCTCCAGAAGTACGCTCCCGAAAAAGACTGTCTCTCTCTTCTATGAAAGGGCTTAGATCGGCTCAGAGGATGCGCTCTTTGAGGCCTCGCAGTGTGGGAAGTTGTTTGGATATTGTTGTAGAAACGGGAGAGGAGGAAGCTAAGGAGAGCAGATTTTCAACACGAGCAGCTAGCTGTCTTGATGTGAACACTCCAGCTGCCCAGCAACCCCCCTTCTTGCCCCCCTGTCCTGCTTTCCCCCCTTCTGCGCTTGCCAAAGCACACGGGCCCTCTGCTGCCACAGGACCCCGACCTGCTGCCAGCACCTCCAACCTGCAGATCCCCCGAGCTCTCACTGTCACGCGGCGCTGTATCAGCACACTGGATGTGTCCAAGCCTCCGCCCCCTCTGTCACTGTTCAAACAACCTCTCCCTCAGTCCAAACCTGGCAACAGTAAGGCCTCTCTTTATCTGTCTGTGCTTGTGTTTGAGTTTGTTTAATCATACTAACCGCTAACATCTAACCATACACAGTATTCTCATGTTTAGTTCTAACTGTTTAAATATAATGTACGTAATACATAGCTGAGTCTGTTCACTGAATTATTAAACTGAAAGACAATAAGACAAATAATTATAACAAGACTGTAGTTTAGCATTTCAGTCTTCTGTAATTTAGAAAAAATAGATTGTGTTACATCATTCTTATGCTCCTGATCATTCATATGTCATCCATACATTCACAGTAATGGTCATGAATATGATCCGGGTGCACACTAACCTGCTTTTTACTTTTACTGCTGTGTCATGTCTCATTATGTGACCCTGTTTTCGTAGGCCTTTTACAGCCTCAGTGTGAACGCATGGCCATTGAAGCACTGCAGCTGTGCACACTTCTGCTGCCCCCCGCCTCCCGCCGTAAACTCCAGCTCCTGATGAGGATGATGTCGCGGATTAGCCAAAATGTGGACATGCCCCGCCTCCACCCAGCCATCGGCACTCGCACACTGGTGAGGACAAACAAAAGCTCCTCTTATTAATGTCCTTTAAGGACTATGTTAACCAACTTCTTTGTTTCTGGTAGATGGTACACACATTCTCAGGCTGTGTACTAGGCAGTGCAGAGGAATGTGATTTGGATGAGCTGCTGGCCACCAGACTGGTGTCATTTTTTATGGACCACCAGCAGAGCATTCTTTCAGTCCCAGAGTACTTGCTGACAGCTATCGGGGACCACATTCGGTATCTACGCACAGTACAGGTACAATCTGAGCTTCATTTACTATGTTATAGAACAGCTAGCGTGCAGAGTACATACTTTGAGATCCATAGTCATATACAGCAGACAAGGGACTTTGTCTGAACCTCTCGATGAAATTAAGACATTTCGAAGTATTTTCTCTAGAAGGTCTTCTGCCACATTTGCTGCCACATATGGTGTAAAAAGCCTGTAGAATCTCAAATGTCCATAGATGGCTCCTCAGCTTAATTAGCCTCTTGCATGGTCTCCATGGATACGGGAAAACCAAGCAGTTAATTTCACACAACTCAACAGTCCCTAGCTGCTTAAAATTCCATGAGATGACGTTAAAGACTGCTGAGTGTGTGAACCAGGTAGCTATAAAAGCAGCCAACCACTTAGGACGACGGTTGAGGCTGGAGTTACAAAAAGTACATATATTAACATCACTTAACTGTCCCATAGAAATTAGTTTAACTCTGTTAACACCTAAATAACCAAATACATGCTCCTATATGTGAATGGTCATCTTCTCAGGTCCCCATTGGCCCTACTGCTGATGCTGGGGGTGAAGAGGAGATCTCTGTGCCTCTGCCCATCTACGCCTTCTGCCGTCAGATCAGTGGAGCCGAGTTTGAACAGCAGAAGACTGAATCTTTACAGCAGGCCATGGAGGAATTACTTGAAACACTCCTGACTGACCAGAATATAAGTGAGAAGGATAGACGGAAAAAACTTAAACAGGTAATAAGATGGCTATTCCTACAGAAACGGTTAATAACCCACATGGGACACTGTTATACAGATTCACATGCAGCAATTTGGTACTTATATTGTCCTGTGTATGGTTTCTTAGCCACATCTAGTGGTGATTGAAGTGAATTTTATGCATAAACCCAAAATAACCTCCATGTTTAACTGTAGTTTAGAGCCTAATATGTCATCACTGGAGTAAGATTATAATAAATTTTTTTATTAAGAATACCTCCTACTCATTTTAAATATTAAATTTGAGTATTTTCCATTGATCATGTGTCCTTAAAGGTGGGCTATATGTAACTTTTCTGGTCACGAGGGGGACTGCCAACTTCATGTCTCCATGGAGATATCTTTTTTCCCTGGAATGTTCCACATTATGGCATGTTGTTGTGAAACGTCCAGCAAAATATATATAAAAAAAGAAAAACATTAAAAATTTACAAAAAAAATCTATATATCTAAAATGTGGTTAAAATGAAATGATTGTTTCTTCTTCAGTTTCAGAAGCAATACCCCGACATCTACAATCGCCGTGTCCCTGCCACAGACCAGAAGAACAAACCAAAGATTAAACCTCCGCTCCTCAACATCAAGAAGACCAAAGTTTTTAGTATCAGGAACTGAATTTTTTATTTTTTTATTTTTTATTTTTTTATGTAGTTTGTTGAAGGCAGTGGACTGAAGACCCTTTTTTTAAATTGTACATAACAAGGTTTTATAGAAAGTGTACATGTAAACTGTAATTGGTACACTGATGGGTGTTGTCATAATTAGCTAGAAATTAGAATTAGCAAGAAAACTTTTAATGCAAGTTTGAGTTCTCACTTATTTTAATTTATAAAGTGACATTGGGAGATTTTAACGGTTTAAGCTTAATTATTCAAAATACTACAGTCTATTTACCTGTTTTTGTAGAAAGTTTTTGTGTTGTCATAACGTCTGTAAAATATTTTGCACTATACTTTTATTGTGGCCAGATTAGATTGTTCTGAAAATGTTTTATTTATAATTATTTAATGTTAATACAGTAAAAATGGTTTTGGTTTCACACTCCTGAATCTAAATAAAGGTAGAAATCCTAGGACTCATATATTCGATGCTCAGATTGGTGCAGTAAAAGCTTCACTTTCAGATCATTTTGGTAATTTAGTTTTAGTTTATTCCCATTTAATCCATAATTCAATATTTCCTTGTAATGAATGGTAATATGAAGTATTTGTTTGACTGTGCTTGTTTTTTTCATTTTTACCTCAATGTTTCTGTTACACGTGCTCATACTAACAGTGTTTTGGTATTTTTCATTCATTTACATTTTTTTTTACTATGCAATATCCTGGAAAATAAATCTGTTTAGTAATATTTTGCCAGACAATGTTTTTATGGTAATTTTCATACAGTCTTAAAAAGATCAAAGTTAAATAATCAGCTAAAGATGCACTATGTAACTTTTCTTACCGATTAATATAAATGCAAGTTATTAGTTTGTTTGTCACAAACACACGGCATCAGCGCCGCTCCTACAGCGCACGAAGGAACAACCAGAGCAGCTCCGTCAGCTCATTTACGCACTATTTAACTATTAACACTATTTCCTGTGAGGCTTCGCCCGCAGATTTGCCCATAACTAATGAAAACAAGCCTCTTACCTTCTCCAGGGGACCAATGCAGAGAGTATCTTCTATCCACTGTCCAATATGAAGAGATCAAACTGGTCCAAGTCCCGGTCCAGTCAGTCACGAGCTGGCTGCTTTTGCTGCAGCTAACGTTGCATTCGAATGAGAAGAGTAGACTACAGATGAAATTTCTTTAGCCATTCTTGGCATATTTATTGGAGAACTGCACGTCATGCAGCTACTTATCGCACTGACGTAAAACTACGGCAAGTCTAATTGAATAAAGACATTGACTTACACCTGCCTTCTGTAACCTGTACTGTAGCGCCTCGTGACGTAAAACACAACATATGCAAATAATGTACAACTCTAACTGAAATACAAACTGAGGGCATTAATGTATTAATTAATGTATTTTAACACCGTCATTAGCCAGTGTGTGATCAGTCAATCAATGAATCAACACAAGAGCCATAGGATTTCACCGTAGCCAGATGCACTCATTTCAGCTTAATGCTTCCTAAAAACTGTTCCTCGGACGCACTTTGACTTGAAGTTGAACTTGTATAGTACTTGTATACTTGTATACTTGTATAGTGCACAGCTCTGTTGTTCTATGTGTGTTATTAATTGCGCTGATTGAGCCCTGTGAGCATATGAACTCTTAAGCCTCCAGCAATGTTTTTGTTTATACCATTGTATATTACATTGCATATTTGAAAAAAAAATAAAAAAAAAAAAAATCCCATAGACCTCCATTAAATTGCTCCGACAATGGCTCCGACCCACCGCATTCGAATTCCAAACACATGACTCAAATAAAGTGATATGAACACATATAACATGATAAGAATATGTCTATGCAGATACACGTTCAATTTTAAACAAAATGTTAAACATGTAGCCTAATACAAAATAACGACTTTATGATTTTTTATTATTATTTTTTTTATCTAGGTCAAGTTAGAGAGTGCGGCGCACTTGCGCCCTCTATAGACCAGCTGCCACTGGATGCATTGTGTAACTTTTCTGGTGGAGGGTCCGCCATCTGGTTTTCTGGTTTTAGAAATGATATTGTTATCTTCCCCTGTATCATCATGGAGACCAAATCAGGCTAAGTTACTGGTCAGATCTGTGCAGAGGCATACCCGTTCACAGCCAGAATGCCTGTTTTTCTACATATTTTTGAGCAATAAATCCACCTGTAAATGAATACATGTAAGGTAGATTTGTTTAATGATACTGTGGAAAATATGAAGTAGTGCAATGACATAGAAACATGAAGGTGATGGACCCCTAACCGAAAAGCTACCTAGTGCACCTTTAAATTTGGGTTACTGATGCTTTTTTAATGCAAAAAATGCAAATGTATTCCATGATCATTTATTATAATAGCAGAGGACAAAGCATACGCCTAGTTAATCATCCTGTTGACATATTTCTGACGTGTTTCTCCCCCACAGTTAACTAGCTCACATACTTTTCTCTGAGCTGTCTGGAAGTAATTAAAGTTGGACTAGTTTTTAAAAAAATAAAAATACAAGTACAATTACAAATATTTATGCTATTGGCTATACAACACAATTCTGAGTCTATAAATGGTTAATGTTTTGGTGAGTTTTTTCAGGCATGGAACACTCCGAGTGTTCAAGAGGAAGACTGAATGAAACCCAGACAAGGATTGCTTGTTTGGCTTTGGTGGCAGCGAAAGGAGGAGGAAGAGGAGGGCTGGAAGAGGGGCACGAAACTAGAGAAGGATGGCAATGGGGGAGGAGAGACTGTGAAGGGGCTACTTTTTTCCATCTCACAGCACAGGAAATCAGAGCAGTTTAAATCCAGCTAACAAACAGCAGCATGGTCAGCCGGTGAGTAAAACTTTTCACTAATAAAACAGCATGAATTAAGATGTATAGGGTATATTTATGCAGAAGTAAAAAAAAACTGTAGTAAGCAAATATGTGGAATGTGTATTAAAATTCTTGGAAAATCTATACATTTAAATAAAGCTTCACTAAAACCTCTCATCTATGATAATTATGCATGATTACTGTGGTTGCATTTTGCCAATGGGATTGGTGATGTATACTGTACAGTCAAAGGGAAGGATGCATTGTCCTCTCAAAACTTGCATGCACTTGAAGGTTCTATATTACACAGAATTGACTCTTGTGAGCTTTAAGCCATATTATAATGTTGTTACTGCCTCAAAAACATACCTGAAGTTCTGTTTTGTTTCATTCACATATTTGTTTGTGTAACCCTGTCTGTTTACATCTGTGAACCTCATGCTTAGTGCTTAGTGGTTTTCAAATTAACAACTTTTTACCTTTAGTTCAGTAGAGTTTGGCAATTACAGAGCTGAAATTACCCAAATTATTCTAGTGAAGGTGTATACCATAACAAAACACAACTCTGGCTATGTTTTCAAAGAGGAAAAAGCATTATAGTAGATCAGAAAATAGTGTAATATTTTTTTAAACATGCATTTTTGCAGAACTTAGTCAGCACTATTTATTTACACTATCAGAAACTACTAATGTCATTTCATATTTCCTAAGTTATTTAAGCCATAATTGGTCAATTCCTGTTTTGTTTTTCATACAGTGTGGAGCATCCCGCTGCTGGCTACAAGAAGATTTTTGAGTCTGTGGAGGAACTCAATGAACCCATAACAGCTAAAGTCACTGGTAAGAAAATCTGACTTAAAAGTGTGCTATGTAACTTTTCTGGTGGAGAGTGCAATCTACTTGTCTCCATGGAGATGTTATTGCTTTGCCTAGAAAGTTCCACTGTATGGCATTGAAGTCATATAAGTCTATGGAGACAAGCAGGAGATGCCACTAGGCCATGTTCTAGGTGAGATCTGTAGAGAGGTGACCCAGCTCATAGTAACAATATATGTTTTAGAGGTAGTTTTGATCTAGGTAGGAAAACACTACATAAGCGTAATACCATAGATTGGAAAATTCCAGGCAAAGCAATAACATTTCTAGGATGGCAGACGCCCCACTGAAAAATTACATACTGTACCTTTAATTTAATAACAAACTGTGTGACAAGAAAATGTGTTTTTGTGGATTTTGCACATGTTGTGAGGTATAGCTCCTTCGTCACCTGTGTTCAATAATGTTAAAACTTAATAAATGGATGTAATTACATTTTTGATTTGATGTGTGATTTCAGGCACTATCCCATCATGGCTGGGGGGCAGTCTGCTGAGGATGGGTCCAGGTCTTTTTGAAATCGGAAGTGAACCTTTTTACCACCTGTTTGATGGACAGGCTATGATTCACAAGTTTGACCTAAAGAATGGTCAGGTGACATATTACCGAAAGTAAGCCCTCTAAAACAGATGTGTCTTAGACTTGCATCAAGATAAATTAATTTCTTGAAGGTGCATTGTGTAACTTTTTCTTGTGGAGGCTACACAAAGTAGTTAATTCACCAAAATTGTTCCACAATATGGCATTAAGCTTATCTGTCCTCATGAAGACGGGCAGGTGACACCACCAGGCCAACTTATTCATGGGTGTCCACTTCCGTTTATATGAAACACTGTGAGGACATTTTTGTCATGGCATTTTGTTTTAAATCAATAAACGCTGTAGCAACGCTTGAAATTTTTCATTTCACATGGTAACACGTTTTGTAAGGGACTCCCTAAGAGCTCTACATTTTGTCTGGGGGCAGGATTTAAGATTCCATTGGAGCCATGGCAGCTCACTTTTAAACTTTTTTTTTTCTTTTTGTTTTCTCTTTCTTTCTGTTTTTCTATTCACCTGAGCTGCTGGGTATAAAAACGGACTTTCTGGTGAGACAAAGTGAATTTAGACCTATAATTATAACAAAAACAGGTTAAGAATAGGAAACTTGTACACTTAACTTTTGGTTATCGAATATTGGCAAAACTGAGCTGTAATTTTTTAAACAAAAGAAAATGATAAAAATATTAGTATATGAATGTATCACAAAAATACTTGTTAACTGCCGAACCTTAATATTTGCTCTAATTACATCTGCTGAGTATGAAAGGAGCTAGCTTTGTTTGATATGGAAAGCTAAGCCCTGCCCCCAGATGAAACGCAGAGAATTTAGGGAGTCCCTGTTTTGCAAGGAGTTTTTGCACAATATAAACACACACAATTAGCTTTTAGATGTAAGTTTATTAGAAATTAGATTTGTAAGTTATAGATAAGTCACACAGTGGAACATTCCAGTCAAAGCTCATGGAAAGGCAGGTGGTGGACCTTTCACCAAAAAGTTACATAATGCACCTTTAATAAACTTTTGTATGAGTCTTATGTTTCATTTGTGATCACACAGATTCATTAAGACAGATGCATATGTTCGAAATATGACAGAGAAACGAGTGGTCATCACAGAGTTTGGTACAGCAGCCTATCCAGACCCATGCAAAAACATCTTCTCCAGGTATTGTCCTTCTTTCTGTATTTTTAAAGGTCCCATATTATGCTATTTTCTGATCTATATTATTTATGTTAATGTTATATCACAAACATACCTGGAATTGTGTTTTGTTTCATTTACAGTTGTTCAGCACACAAACCCTGCATATTTAGTTGTTCTCTCAAACAGAAAACACTCACTCCCACTTCATGACATCACAAGGTGGAATAAAGTATTTTGAGCTTTGGAGATGTAGACAGTCTAAGAATAAAAGGTTAAGCAACATGTGTGAATGAAACAAAACACAACTCTGGTTATGTTTTCGATGAGGTAACAACATTATAACATGGCTCACAAGAATCCAACTTTGCAGATTCTTCACTTACTTCCAAGGCATTGAAGTAACTGATAACTGTCTGGTGAACATCTATCCCGTTGGTGAGGATTTCTACGCATGCACAGAAACAAACTTCATTACAAAAGTTGACCCTGATTCCCTGGAGACATTAAAGAAGGTAAAAAATAAAGCTTTATCTGGCAGCAGAACATGTATGAAGTGTCTTGTGTTGTATTTAAGGTGGACATGTGTAAGTATGTGTCTGTAAATGGAGTGTCAGCTCACCCTCACAGAGAAGCGGATGGAACACTCTACAACATCGGAAACTGCTTTGGCAAGAACTTGAGTTTGGCATACAATATTGTCAAAATCCCAGGACCACAAAAAGGTTGGTATACTGTAAAAATAATAATTTCTGTTTGTCTTATCTAAAACTAGACTAACCTATTCCATCTACTATCCGGGCATATATTTCCAGATAAATCAGACCCCATTGAGAAATCCCAGGTCATGGTACAACTTCCAAGCAGTGAGAGATTAAAGCCTTCTTATGTTCACAGGTATAAAAGCAGAATATGCTCCAACATGTAAGATTTGTAACATGGCCTGATCACATCACATGCTTTTCCCCATGGAGTTATCAATGTTAAAGGTGATATTGTGCATTATGTGCAAAGCAAAAAAATTTCATGGAGAAAATGTGGCAAGCGCACCAGTTTCCCCCATGAACCCAAAACATGCTACATAGGTCTCCAGGAAGAACAATTGATAGCTAAGGTCAATTAAATACAACCAATCAATGAACCTGCTCAAGGACTACAGGTCAAAATTAACACTGGTGCTACAACCTGCTACAATGCATCTCTCCTGTTAAGGTTAATGTAAAAATTGTGTGCTGTTCCTGTCTCAGTAAATAAATAAAGAAAGAAAGAAAGAAAGAAAGCAGAAAACATGATGCACACTTAATGAACACAAATAAGAATGCCTATAACAGGTTGGACTACTAAACTACTTTTACTATAACAGTCGTGATGATTATATATAAGATTTTGTTTAAAATGTTACACTTTCATTTCTGAAATAATGTTCAAAGTATCAGAAAAAAAAGTGTGTAAATTGTCCATATTCTGTCTTCACAGTTTTGGTATGACAGACAACTACTTTATTTTTGTTGAGCAACCTGTCAAAATCAACTTGCTTAAATTCCTGTCTTCTTGGAGCATTAGAGGAGCCAACTACATGGACAGCTTTGAGTCAAATGAGAGCATGGGTGTAAGTACAGTAAATCACTTTTTAAAGTAAACAGTTCAGTCATGCCCTTTGTGTTTTGTCTCATAGACCTGGTTTCATCTTGCTACTAAAAACCCCGGTGGTTACTTAAGCAGTCACAAGTTTCGAACATCACCTTTCAATCTTTTTCACCACATCAACGCATATGAGGACCAAGGCTTTATTGTGTTGGATCTCTGCACGTGGAAAGGGTAAGTGGTAAATAATAATGGTTGTTAATGTTGAACTTTTACTTTTACATTAATATGTCCTTTAATGTATCTGTTGTTTCAGTTATGATTTTGTGTATAATTATCTGTATCTGGCCAATCTGAGAGAGAACTGGGAGGAGGTGAAGAAGGCTGCTATGGGAGCTCCCCAGCCAGAAGTCAGACGTTATGTTCTACCTGTGGACATTAATCGTGTAGGAACAAACAAAACCTACATATCACTTTTATTCTTTGCCATTCATCTGTTTTCAGAAAAAACCTGTAATTCAGTTTCATGCCATAGGAAAATTCCATGCAAGGCAGTAATATCTCCATGTAGACAAGCAAGCGATGTGTCCTCCACTCCAAAAACTACATAGTGCACCTTTAAATTGCACATGCATTTCTTTGCATTGTTGCATACTGACATTATGAATACATTACAGTGCAATTTTCACATATGTTAACTGTGTTTTTGTAGGAGAAACAGGGGAAGAACCTGGTATCATTGCCTTACACCACAGCCACTGCAGTTTTGAACCGTGATGGAACCATTTGGCTTGAAGCTGAGATTCTCTTCTCTGGACCAAGACAGGGTCCGTAACAATTAAGATATGATACTATTGATATTTGTCACGATGGCCTGGGGATGTTCTACATGTTTGTGTATGTTCATTAGTTACCATTGTAACTCAATGCACACATTACATGCACAAATACAGCCAAAAACATTTTTGGATAGTGTGAAAACTCAAGAAAAAATACAATATTAGCATCTGTCTTTCAACATAATTTTGTATTTATGTTGTTCTTTTGTTTCAGCCTTTGAATTCCCACAGATTAATTATTCTCAGTGTTGTGGAAAGAAATATTCTTTTGCTTATGGCCTGGGACTTAACCACTTTGTTCCTGACAGGGTATGTTTTTTTTTGTTGCCCAAAGCTAAATACAGCGTATGAAGCACAGCTCTTTAACAATGAGATTTGTGTTTGTTTACAGATAGTGAAGTTGAATGTCCAGACCAAACAGACTTGTGTGTGGCAGGAGGAGGACTGTTACCCTTCAGAGCCATTATTTGTGGCATCCCCAGAAGCTGCAGAAGAAGATGATGGTAAGACTTATTTATATGTAATCTGCAGCTGTCACTACACTATACAAAACATTAATGTGTGCTGTTGTGGATTTGCAAAACTGATACATAAGTTGTGATGATTGTAGGCCTGTTGCTCAGCATAGTGGTGAAACCTGGAGCTGAGAGACCAGGGTCATTACTGATCCTTAACGCTGCAGATCTGACGGAGGTGGGCAGAGCAGAAGTGGACGTGATCATCCCAGTTACATTTCATGGCATGTACAAACCCTAAATCTTATGTTTATTTTGTTTAATATGAACCTATTATAGTTAACTAGACTGTAGCAGTTGTTCATTTATGTAAAACCAATGCTGAACTAATCTAATGTGATGAGACGGCATCTATGTAACTACATATATCTTGTTATATATTCTTATGGGGATTTTATATTTTGTAGTTTGCTGATTCTTGCAAGTTACAAGTACATTATTGTGTCCTCATTATTAAAGATGATCTTTGTATTTTATAAATAGTTTATTTACAGTACGTTTAAGGACGAGGCATATGCATGTCAACACATACAATTCACTGTTAATCGTGAAGGCACCAAGATATTCCACTGAATTTCATAATCCTTATTTAAATTTTGCATTAGAAAATTGTTAACCATCTTAAAATATTTATAATAGAATTTTTTTTTATCATAAGACACTGATAAAAATCAGTCACTATGGCAAGCAACAGTTTATATTCGTAGAACAGGTGAGTTCGTTTTTGTAGTCGATAGTTGATATTGCTGCTGCTTAATAATGTCCAAACAGTCTCTAACCACCTGTGGATATAAACAGTTGTGTCACAAACATGAGATTATATTTATTTAAATAAATAATATGACTATTATTAATGCATAACAGCACTGTACCTTTCTGGTGTCTTGAGGTAGAATAACTCCATCGTCCCACAGTCGGCCAGAGGAGAAAAAAGCTGAACTCTCTTCTTTTAGTATCATTTCAAAGTTTTCTTTAGTGTCTTTGTCTTCTTCAGGTGAAAATAAGGATTCAGAATAATTTGGAGCTGTGATGGACACCTTGGCATTTGGCCACAGGAACAGGAAGTTAGGGTCAAAGGCCCGGCCACACTACAAACAAACAAGGAATGATGATTATAAACAAGACTAATACAATGATACATTAAAAACCAATACATTAAAAACCAACAGAAATAGTCATTTTACAATTAGGGGGTGACTTGAAGTATAGCATAAAGACCATAGAGTCCCTACCATAACATAGCTGTCTGTGCCATGGCATCCACCAACCACCACGGTGATTTTAGGAACAGAGGCACACGCCACAGCAGACATCATGGAGCCCTGAGCCTTTAGACGGTTACTGTTGTGATCTGCCTTAAAGACATACAACATTTGAAAATCTGCTCTTGTTAAAGATGCGCTGTGTAACTTTCCTGGAGAGGGTACACAACCTGTTTGTCTCCATGGAGATGTTAATGCTTTTGTTTAAATTGTTCAGAGTACTGAACTTATCTGTCTTGCATTTATTCAACTACAGTTTTTTAGGGGCTCAAAAATATCTTTAAAAAAATATTCTTGGGGACACTTGGGGAATGGGGTCGTCTCTCCACAAATCTAATCTGTAACTTTGCTTCAAGTCTCCATTGATATCCATAAATGTATTCAGATATGTGGAACACTGTACGTACATCTCTGTGGAGACAAGCAGGTGAGAGACGGTCCACCAGACAAGTTACACAGTGCACCTTTAAATGATAGACAATATATGAAGACTAATAAGATCTGGAGTGTTACTTGTTGCACAGAAAAGGTTGAAGCAGATGCAGGTGCTGTGTTCTGAAGAAAAAGAAGAGGAATGTCTCTCTGGTCACACAGTTGGACAAAATGAGTTCCTTTGAGGGCAGCCTCATATGAGAGCTCTCCGTTATTAACAACTATCCCCACCAAGTGACTGAAGAAGAAAATAAGATCAGACTGTGGAGTTGTTTAGTTATGAAGAGAAACATTTTCAAACTTACCCATGAATCTTTGCAAATCCTGTAACAAGTGTAGTTCCAAATCGTGCTTTAAACTCTTGAAAGCGGCTCCCATCTGTGAGTCGACTCAAGATCTACAGAGGCAAAGATTTTTCTATCTTTATGGAGACCAAAACCAGACAATGTTACAGGTCAGGCGGGCAACCCTGCTTGCAGTCAGAATGCCTGCTTTACTAGGTATATTTGACTATAAAACTACTTGTACTTAAGTAAATGTAAGGTAGAGAACATTCCAGGCAGAGCAATAACATCTTCACAAAAACAAGTAGGTGATGGACCCCCAACCAAAAAGTTACATAGGGCACCTTTAAAGAACAATACTATGTTAAATAATAAAAACATAATTATATGTTACCAGTTTAACATCCAGTGTGTAATTATAACTGAGGGGAGCAAGTCCTAGAAGCTCCTGTGAACTAAATAGAGGCTCCTCATCTGCTTTTCTCTTTCCGCTCTCATCACTTTCTTCCTCTGGGAGCAGAAAATTTAAGGTGGATATGATGTTTCTGGTGTATTCATACGCTTCCTTTTCTTCCCAAGCAAAGTGGTCAACACAGCCACTAACCCTAAACACAAGTTATATAAATTATATAAGATTAGACATCCAATAATAGCTCTATTTATTGATATTTTGCAGTGACATCATGCTGGAGTGTTCTACATTTATCACTATTGCTGGAATGTTTAGGCATTAACATAGTGAGCCGACACTGTCAAAAAAACTTTAATCTATCTTGAAAAGTCAAAATGGATTTAAAGCACACATTTCCAAAAGCATGTGATCAATACGAGTTCATGGTCCTGTTGAGGAGTTTTTCAACAAAAATGGTGAGAGTAACTGAAACACTGTTGGCTAATGCTAGCTGGCGTGTGACTGTAGTTTTATGTGTGAGGGACTTGTCAAATTGTGTTGAAATAAAGCAGAGACTAAAGTCTAATAAATCCTCAGACAGAGCAGAGCCTATAGTTAACATCACACTTCCAGGGAATGTTGATGACATCAGCTGCAAAGTATCAATAAAAATGATGTAGACTTTTGAATGACGTACTCTGCATGTAGCCGAGCACCTCCCAAATCTTCTGGTGAGACTTCTTCCCCTGTTGCTGCCTTAACAAGAGGAGGTCCACCTAAAAATATAGTCCCAATTCTGTGCACCATCACTGCCTCCTCTGCCATTGTCGGGATGTATGCTCCTCCCGCCGTACATGAACCACAGACAACGGAAACCTTTAAACACACATTTCATACAGTCATACAGATTGCTTTCATATTATACAATTACTACATTATTTCAGATTGAGGGCAGGGGTAACTCTATGGAAAAGGAAATATCAAAATTTTTGATCCGCAAATGTTAAACCTTATCATTATTTGTTTAAGATTGCAGCTGTCACTTTCTGAAGCTATTGTGAAAAAATCTTCTCTCTTGTTTTGCACAGAGAAAATATTGAACTTTGTGTCAGTCTTTGTTTCATGTTTAGCTCATGTTTTTATGATATTAAACAGAAACAGGGTCAACAAATCTGCAATCATTTAAACTGCAGACAGTTTAAGAGCAAATTCTACCTCCACTTTCTTTTTTCAGTGTAACCCATGGTCTCAAATAGCATAAAGAATTTCAGAAGTGTCTTAAACTATCCTATGGTACCTATGTGTACAAAGCATGTCTTACCTGTGGAATTTTTAATGCAGACATGATGGCTTCATTGTAGAATGTCCTTCCTCCCTGATTCTTGTCAGGAAATATCTCAGACTACATGTGAAGTAAAACATCTGTTTAGTGCTAAATGTTAATGTTTATAACACAATTTTAAACATATCTATCTTGCATAAATTTCAATTACAGATATATTAATGCTTTAAAGTCCCTTGATAAACATGCATTTGTATAGTGAGAAAGGTCTCTTTTCTATAGATCTGACCCACTGAAATGATCTGGTGGTGTCACCTGCTTGTCACCACAGAGATATATTTTGGAATATTCCAGGCAATAGCATCTCCATGGAGAAAATCAGATGGCAGACAGTAACATAATGCACCTTTAAAATGTGTGCATTAATAATTTCACCTGCAAAGGTAAAAAAGCTCCTCCAGAGTCGACCAGATAAACACAAGGCAGGCGGTTCTGAATAGCCACTTCCTGTGCCCGTAGCTGTTTCTTGACTGTGATTGGATAGGCAGTGCCACCCTTTACAGTGGCATCATTGGCAATGAACACACACCACAAGCCATTGATCCGACCAATACCTGAACACACACACACATAAAAAAGCCTAAACAGCATTACAAAAATGCATGTCTATAGCGTAACCCATATAGCCTAAACTATTTCCCATAAAAAAGAAACATACTACTAACTATTGATAAATAGTAAAACTTTTATATAGCGCTTTTCCACCTTTAAGGCGCTCAAACCACTTTACACCCAGGAAGCACTCAACCATTTACACACACATTCATATAGTGAGTGTATGCAGACACTGGGGCCAAGATGGGTTAAGTGTATTGCCCAAGGACACAATGATAGGATTCATCTGTAGGAACTGGAAATGCACCACCAACCTGTGGGTCAGTGGATCTGGTCGCCCACTAAAAATATTGTAAATGTAATCAAACTAGTCAAAATTATGTAGTCTACAGTAAGCAAAAAGAAAGCCTTTGAGGTTTCTGACCAGTCAAGCAGCCGGCAGAGGGGATGTCTCCATAGGGCAGACCCAGCCCAGCAAACGGTGAAAGCTCCAGGAAGTCTTCATTATCCAACAGGAGACGAAGGCGGTCTCTCACCAGCAACTTCTTGTTTCTTTGTGTGTGTCTGGCAATAGCATTGGCTCCTCCACCTTTTTTCACTTTTTCACTGAATTCTACATACCTTCAAAGAACCAAGAATAAATATGCCTTATTAGAACAATGCACAATATAGAAGAAAATATAAAAATGTAGAAGAATAAGAAAAAAATTTTACTTTTTGTGACAGAGTGCACTGTTTCTGAGATTGGCCTCGTACACATGTCGATAGATGGGCTGTAATGGCAGGTTTAGCACTGGAAAAGCACTTGGAAGACTTTTTCTCCCCTTCACTGTTGTACTCATTAAGCAGACACAACACTGCCACCCAGCAAGACTGAGAGGAAGATACTATATTTAATTAATTGTTATTAAGCTGTTTTATGTGAGACTGTATTTGACATGCAATGTTTTTTTTTGGTTTTGTTTTTCAATCTGCCAATAACCTGGACCTGAATACATTGTTTAATTTCTGTGTATTTTTTATACTGAAATGACAAATAAATTCTGATTCTAAACTGAAACTAGAATTCATGCCATAAACTTGAAGACATAAATATCAGTTAGCGGTGGGTTATAATGATTAACATCTCGATAATGATATTCAGGCAGTATTTTAACAATGCATCAGGAATATGCTAAGACTGAGATTCAAGTCTAGCACAAAACATGAATGGACCATACCATTAACCAAATAAGTGCAGAATTATCACTTTTTTGGAGGATTACACTACACATTTCACATTACACTATTCTGCTCATTTTATTTTGAATCTCTACATTTTGTTGTCATTTATACTAGCTTTAATATAGACAATACATTCAATATTTGAATTTTTCATTTCAACAGAACAATTGCGATATTATATTTGGAATTAAGTAGTTACACCCACCTATGTTCTTTGTTTTTAGTTGTGTGCACAAAAACTGGCTGACAGTTCCTGGTGTTGTTATAAACATGTCTGAGAAAGGCAAATAACAAGCACAGTTAGACAGGTGTGATTTTTCATTCAAAAAGATTTAGCAAATTGAAGATAACTATGAAACAATTATAAGCAATCTTTGCTGCAGGAGTAGTCGTTTAAGGAGTGCAAGAGCAGATGACCAAATGGTAATACCATAATTATACATATACAAGAAATGCAATATTCTAGTCAAGTGTAACTGGGTAAATAAATCGTTAGTTGGTTCAAAAATGGCAAATTGTGTTAAAGGTCATTGAGAAAGCCCCATAAACTTCACAAGACAAAACAATCAATGCACATCTTATAAAAATGAAAAATTAAAGTTAAAATACTGTTCCAGCTACCTCGCAAAGCTGCGGTACATGTCTGCATAAGAAAAATAACTGCAAAATACAAAATATTCCTTTAATGTATCATGAAGAGTTTGTGATCAGATCAACACAGCTTTGCCTTGCTGCAGTTTCAGAACGCCGTTCTTCTTTGTGATCGTGTGAATTTACCGTCCAGACGTAATGTCGCTCCCTGACGGTCACATACAGATAACACTTGTAATGACAAACCTTAACCAGAAGAGGGAGCTGTCCACTTACAAACTCACCGGGTTCGATTAATTAGCCAATTGAAGTTATCCCGGACATCCTTTATTCTCTATACTGCATACACATTTTAAGCGTGGAATGTATTATGTCTCTTCATCGAAAAATCTTTGCAGTTTTGAGTCATGCTTCATATAATATTTGCGTAAATCTACGTTTGACATCATCTGGTGATAATCCAAAAGCACTCCTCTGTGTTTTTAAAGTTCATTGACAAAAAAACAGCAAATAAATACATCAGATGCTGCCTCGTCTAGTTTATGCTTAGACGTACACCATTTCCACAGGACTTTTAGCCTACTGGTGTTTTGGTATTTTAATTGCCACTTATTTATTTAGGTTATTTATTTTTATTTGTGTGAGCTATTGTGTTGGAGTCATTGCCCATGTTTATAATTAAAGTCTGAAGTCTACACTTTAATTTAATTTATATTGGTTACCCTGAAAAAAAAATATAATATATACATTATATATAATATATCTCAGAGATTATTAATATGTATAAGTTCATTAACCCTGATATTGGCCTGTGTGATCCCTGGATGGCCCCTGGTGACTGTGCTCCTGCCATATACAGTCTGGTCCTGCTGATTCACCACGGAGCAGGAGGAGGCGGAGTGTTTGTGCAGACAGACAGGACAGGAGCAGGAGGAGCACCGGGCTTTCAGCGGCACTTTGGGACAGTCAGAGCCGGGAAAACTGTATCCAATCCGGGGAGAACCCACCAGGAGGAATCTGCCATGAGTTGGGGAACGGAACTGTGGGTATGTGCAACTTAAATGTGCTTGTTTGTGATTAGTTTGGCGGGGTTTCTTTCCTGACTGTGGCATAGACAACACAGGACTTCACACAGCGAGGGGAAGGTGTTGTTACCTTTTAGCTTTGTGTTGAAAGCTAAAGGGAATGCTAACACGCAGTTAGCCGAGGCGTGCTAATGCTAATCTGCGGTGCACCTTCACAGCTTTGACAGCGGCGGAACAATGGTCTGCAGCCGTACGGGCAAGACAGGCTGGGCGGAGGTCACGCTGCCGTCAAAACCTATTTATTCCCTTATTTTAACTCAATCTGCCATTGTTCTACGCTTTTTATACAGATCTGGAAGTTACTGTGCTTTTTCTTTTGTGTTTTTTGAGCGCGTCAGTCACACCCAGTTTGAAGTACATACACAGATTCCCACCAATTTAGAAATATTAGGTCATGGCGCGGCTTGGTCTCGTTTTGGTTAATTCTTAACTTTCAAGTTTGTTAGTCGCTGCTTGTCTGGAAAAACACGCTCTTTTGTTGTAACTTCAGTCAGCGGGACATGGGGCATCGCATCTGAACCCATGCGTGGCACAAGATGTTGTAACAAACAATTTATAATGTGTATATAACAGGTTGATAAGATAAACCTGGTTCAACAATTAATTTTCCACCATTTTTGTTCTTGTTTTTAATAGTGGTCCAAATAGAATTTGAATATGTTTCTTGTATTTTGGCTACAAAGCTGTGTATTTTTGGGGTGTTGGCTATAGGATCACAGCATAGGATCACAGTAGCTAACAAGATACCCTCTTTGTGACACTCCTCCAGATAATAATAATAATAATAATAATAATAATAATAATGTTTGCTTTTCAGATGATGCAGTTACAATTATTTCTGCTGCCATGTAATATTACTGTATTGCTATGTAAGTTATATGTACAATGACAGGGTGAGGTGACCAAAAACTAAGACAAAGTTTTGCTATAAATTGCATGTATCTGTTCTGTGTAGTCAAATCAAGAAAGCTGAGGTAATACTAGACTAATAAGGTTAATACTTGGTTAACAAAACCGCTTTCATAATATCTTACATTATTCCTGATTTTTTGTAATGTTTCAGTGAGTATACCTATAGTCTACTTGTTATTATGAGACAATAATGCTGCAGTGTACATTAGAAAATACAGATGCATGACAGGACTGGACTTGACTTGCCCAGTGTTTTTTTTTTTTTTTTTTTTTTTTGCTCTTGTATAGTTTTGTGTGTAATGAGTGTGAAGAGAGGGGTGGGTTGTGGGAGTTTTTTGTCTAAGTTTTGTTTTCATTATGTATAATTTTAAAATTGAGGAATAAAAAGAAAGAAAATACAGGTGCACACAAATAACAGGTTGCATGATTTTGTTTTATGAATGAAACTGACCAATACCAATCCACAACTCTTCAGTGATTGTTTGCAGTTCATTTTGAGGTTCCTGGAGAGGCCATGCTGTTGACCGTCATAATCCCTGGTGGACGCTGATGAGATTAATCTGTTGGCTGTCTGATGTCAGATTACTCATGATTGGCCGATTACAGATTACCATCCGCTGCATTGGCTGTGTTAGCGCTGCTGTGTAATCAAATTTCAGTCATGACCATTCAGTCTGAATTTCTGGCTCTGGATCAAACACTCCCCTATATATCATTATTCTGGCTGTGTGTAGGCATGCCATTTATAGTGACCCCATTGACAGTAACATGTAAAATCAATGGTTTTAAATGTAACTTGCACCTTTTAATGGTCATTTAGATAACATTTTATAGCACTGCTTATGTAAAGCACTGTTTTGGAAAATTAAAAAATTAAAACATGATCAGTTTAGCTCTTATCTTCAATTGGTAACTAAATATAAACTTCTGTTCCATATTAGTCTTTACAAGTGGAACTGAGAATCTTGAATCTCAACTGTATGTCTTTGGGTTTTTCTGTTGCCCTGTATCAGAGGTGTCCAAACTGTGGCCCAGGGGCCAAATGTGCTCCTCAGACCAAGTTGGCTGGCCCTCAGTGATCCTGCTAAATAGGCCCAAATGAGTATACACAGTACTTTTTACTGCAAATTTCTATTTTTGTCTCTGTATAATTTTATTATCTTGTAATACAAACCTAAATTAGGTCTGGAATTAGTGTTCCTTTTCACTTGGTGACACCCTTGCTCTAAGTGACTGGTCTTGATACTGGCCTTGATAGTGGCCTTGTGGAAGTGTTTTGCGATATTAAAGAGACATTGTGTTTGCCTGTTTTTTGGCTCTTGCCCAACTCATTGAGACATTTCAAAGCAGTAGAAGTGCCTCCTATTACCCCGGCTGACCTCATTCTCTCTGAGGTGCTCACATAATGTAGGGAGAGCTTGTGTTGAATTAAAAGTTTTGTTTTGAGCCACGGTGCCCCCATGCTGAGCCCAGAGCTGCCCAGAGGAGCACGAGGCCAGCACCATGTATCAGCAAAGGCCTGGCCAGCTAAGAATGCACACCTCTCCAATATCCAATATAAGTAATTTCTTGTGTCATAGTACTCGAGACCGGTCTTGCATCCTGGATTTATGGAGAATCAATGAGTGAAGCTACTTTGAGGCTTGTGTGTTTTATACTGCTCATCCTTGCTAGCCTTACAGCAGTCAGTGGTGTGAATGAGACCAGGCTGGGGGTACTGGTCTTGACTCCATGAGCTGTTCCACTGAGGCGGGACTTGTCAACACCAGGACAGAGTCTGTCCTCCGTCTGTCAGGAGAGGGGGGAGCGCATGTTTTTGGTGTGGCTGTGGCTGTCGTTTTTAATTTACCCAAAAGTGCTAACGTGCAGCTTGTGAGGATGAAATGAAGGAGCTGGAGGAAGAAGTGGGGGAGAAAAGCAGAGGGAGGAAGGAGGATGTTGACAAGTGAGAAAAAGCTGACAAAAACACAGACTGATGGACATAATGGATTATCTGAAAGATTAATGGGCCCTGTGGGACATGGATACTCAAACAGTAAATAGTAATGTGATACACTATGAATGAACTTCTATTCAAACAGTGTTTGTAAACCTGTCTTTTCTGTGGTTAGTTGTAAGTGTTTCAGTTATGCACATACCATTGTATTGTATTGATACTATATTATTTACTGTACTTTTCTAGGGGTTCAATCATAGAAGCAGGAAGTGAAGGACAAAACACAAGGGAGAAGAAAAGAGCTAGAATTTTCAGACTACAAAGTGCATTAGGTTACATAATCATTTAGAAAATCAAAGCCTTGATGAGTTAATAATAATATAAATGCTAAAGTGCACTATGTCACTTTCTGGTTGGGGGTTCATCACCTGCTTGTTTCTATAGATATGTTATTGCTCTGCCTCGAGTGTTCTACAGTATGACATTAAACAGCTCTACCTTACATTTATTCAATTAAAGGTGGTTTTACAGCTCAAAAATGCCTTGGAAAACTGACTCTGAGTGGGGTTGCCTCTCCACAGATCGGACCTGTAACTTGGTATGGTTTGATCTTGATAAAGATAGAAAGGTTCAATACCATACTGTGAAACATTCCAGACAAAGCAATAACATTTCCATGGATAAAAGCATTTGACAGACTCTCCACCAGAAAAGTTACACAATGCACCTTTAATGAAAACTTAAATAAACATAAAGGTCTGGTTGCTACAGATAGGTTAATTTCCCTTGACATGTATCACATAATGAAAATTCTTTGGTTTTAACTCTGCTCTGAACTTAAGAGACCCCAGAGTTGAAGAATATTATATAATAGGTCTCTCTTTCTCTCTAGACTTTATGATGGTATTATCTCAGATGTCCCACACCTCCTGTCCTTCTGTAGCTGTGTACTAAACACATCAGCTGAGCACTAAACTGCTGAGAGGAGCTCAAATGATGCTATCTGTTTTATGGACAGACACTAAACAGTCTTTCTGATAGTCATGTGCCCAATGTTATGAGTTCACCAATTTGTGTTCTAAAGTTTCTAATCACTTGTAGTATGATGAATTCCTTTCTTACCAAAAAACATGGGAAAAGATCAGATTTTGTAAAGACATTGTCAGGCCTATCACAATAAATACTATATCAACAGGTCACTCAATGACAATTGGGGGTCATTATTTATCATGGGGACTTTTTTTTTTGCACTACTGGATTATTTTTCTGTGCTACAATACGATTTGAGTTGTAGAGTGTTGAATTATGAACCATGACTGATTTATTTTAGATACAAGCTATCTATGTAAGTGTTGCATTCTGTTATTTATTTATTTATTTATTACTGTTCATGTTTCTTAACAATATTGTACATTTAGATTACTTTTTGGGGGTTAATTCTGCCTTTATGTTTTGGTTAATTTTATTGTCTATATTTACTTCAGCAATATTACGCACATCAAAATTTGTTATTGTGACAGAACTAGACATTGTAAAACAAAAGCTGTGCCTACCTCATCATAGATTGTATTTGTTCTGAGTAACCAGGCAAATGAATGACTTTTTGGACTAAACCAACATATTTAAACTCAAGCCTTCATTGTGCATTTAGTTCAGATTGTCCACTTCTTGTTTTACAGTACTTCCCATAGCTCACTCTACACAAGCATGAAAAACATTAGTATAAATCTTATCACCTTTTGTCCTCTGTTTTTCTCCTCTTGCTCCTCTGTGCATAAACCATCCATGTTGAAGGAGAGCTGTTCCTCAGGTCCTCTCTCTCAGGCCTGGCCTCTTTTCCCAGGGATTTGCTCTGAATTCCCCACAACTGACACTTATAGCAGCTTCCCACAGCCATGACAACATGGGAACTATTTTAATAGGTTTAAATGTCACAGAGGCCCACCAACTCAAAGTACTACAGCCCCAGTCCATTGTCCACTAGGAAGGACTGCATCAGTTACAGAGCCATGTCAGCATGTTTTCTCCACAGAATTATATTGTGTAATTAACTACATTTATTTTCTGTGTCTGCCTCACAATATTAGTATTATTGAAACTAATCTCAGTTGAA